TAATTAAAATATAAAATAAATGTAATTTGTATATTAATTATCACAAGAGTTAATAATTTTTTATTATATGACAATTTATAATTAAATGATAATGTAGAAAATTGTCACATTATTAGTGTATTTTAATAAAAATTTTAGAACTTTTATAACTTATTTTTTTTATTAAAGTATTAAATTCTCTTAAAATTTGAAAAATAGTTTAAAAAATATTAAATTTTGTCAACTTCACTTAACTAAAAAGTTAAAAAAGTGTTAAAACAATTTTCATTTTCAAGTTAAAAACTGTTAAATTATATCTTAATATATAATTTAATCAACATACGTCAAAAAAAGCACTAATGGTGCCTGATTACTTCATGTAAAGGAGTTACTCTACGTGATTATGAAATTAATCAAGAAACCCTTCATATACTCAGCCTCAGCCACAGCCACAGCGAGCCACAACGTTTAACAGTTCTGTGGCATAATTCTTATTTACTGCAATACATTCTTCTCAACCTCGGATTTCAGGAAAAAACAAAAAGCTCATCTACACTGAAAACCAGATCAAATCGTGATTAGAAATGCTATGACTATTGACTATGAAGACTTGTTGACCACATAATGTATATGCTTTCTCAGTGACATGGATTGTGATCACTGATCAGTGGCACCTGGGGCTTCAGTCATGAGTCATCATCACTCACTTGGTGTTACAAAACAGCTTCTAAACTAAGCCTTATTGTTTAGCCTGTTCAGATAGTTAACAGACAGATATCAGTTTTATTAATGAAGAGCATAAAATTTTAAATTTGTTTCAAATAGACAGGTAGTACACAGTATAAATAAGGAGAAAAAAAGAAGAAGAAAGAAACGAGAATGCACCTGTGAATAGAGGAAGGTGCCAAGAATTGCAATGCCAGCCCCAAGGGCATTGACGGGTTGAATTGGCGTGTGGAAGATGAGGATGGAAGAGACGATCACAGAAATTCTCTTCATTGTGTTCCCTATGCTAAATGTTAAGGGAGAAATTTGATCAAGAGACATGTAAGAGACTTGATTGTACAAGTGGTAGAAGACACTCTGTGCAGCTACCCACCTGAAAAAATTTAAACCCAGAAGTTCGTTAGGGAAAAAAAATCAGAATTACTAATAACAATTCTGTTCCATAGAAAATTGAAAAAAAGAAAAAAAACCCATAAAATTTTAGGGAGAAGAATGACATTTGTGAATCAGAATTTGCTAATATCAGTGTCATAAAATGTAAGACGTATTCATTAGTCAAGCTTTAGGACTGTCAATTATTGACTTACTTGAAGTGAATCACCATGCTCATCACTCCCTATAGGATATATATATTTCTCATTAAAGAACTCACATTTTAGAGAACAGTTTCCAATTGCCAGTTCTGAGAGCTCTATGTATCCAGTGTGTGTTTATAAATATTTATATTCCATATAAATCCAACTATACATACAGGCAAAAATCTAAAATCACAGTTCCAGCAATTTGAAAAGATAAAGGATAGAAAACAGAAAATAAATTTACAGATTACTCTTCCTACCAGACAAAATTGGGACCAACTTGAGACATGGCTGTTTGCCAGCCAGCAGCCCACATCTTTGGGCCCTCCACAACAATGGCAAAAGGTGTGAGAATCAATAGAGACAATATGGAAAGGCATGCATAGTAGTTCATTCCACTAACAGACATCCCTTTCATTCCCTTCTTTGAGAATATATTCCGAAAGACAAAGGCCAAATTGGATATCATAGCCCCCATAAAGCCTGAAACATGTGAAGAGGTCTTTTTAGAGCATTGAATTCTCACAAAGATTGATGAACTAATTACAAATTCAACATCCTATCAACTCTGTCAACTAGAAGAGAGCATAGTAACTATTAGTCAGCATCTGCATTTCAACCATGTAATCAAATTCAGTAAATACTAAATAGTCTTACCAATCATATTGAAGTTGAGCTCCGTCACAGCAGCAAGTGCACAACCTCCAATAATTGGGACCAGTGACAAGTAAACCGGCAAGGGGAATGCTTCCCCGAGCAAGAACTTTGATACAAGGACACTGAAAGCAGGCTCTCCACTCTTGATGATGTGGGTGAATGAAACAGCAACTTTTGACATACTCACAGTTGCTGCAACATGCCCAATTGTGTGAACCACCGCAACCTTCAGACCCAAAATTTGAAATTCACCAATGAGTACCAACTCAAAGTTTCCTTGCTTCAAACTCATTGACAATGTCTCACCATTTTAATTTTTGAAAAATATTAAAACATCAGTCTATCTGATTTTAAGCATCTAAAATTGATAAAAAAAAATTTTATAAAAAAGTATTTATTAAATAAAAATATAATGAATATATTTTCTAATAAAAAATACTATTTTTGTTTGTTTAAATGTTTAATAACCAATAGTTTTTACACCACCTAATCTCTTCACTGAATTGCCTGATGCAATACAAATGCTGCAAATACAAAATTATCCTTTTAAAATACATGTTGTGAAAAACAACAAAATGAAAACAAAATTAACCAAGATTTGCTTACAGGAAAGAGGGCCTTCCAGAAGTCCAAATTAACTTTTGGGACATCAGCAACCCTCGTGGCCCATGAGATTAACATCATGAGAGAGCCAGCGGCAAGGGACAAAGTGGAAGTAATCCATGGATAAGGAAAAGCATTCAAAACCTTCTTGTTGTATATGTTGAAGACCACATTCAAAGCCCACCATGTAGCAAAATACAGACCAATTTTGAGCCTCTGAGCTGCCTTTACCCCTCCCTTTTCCCCAGGAAGCTCAATGTTAATCTCTAGTGGTTTTGACCTATCTGCTTCATAGGCCTTGCACTCACTAACCCTCTTTCTTTGTTTTGGTGACAATGTGAAGCTCTCCGTGGATGAAATATAGAGAGGTTTGAGGGAAGAGAGAGAGGGTTCGGTGCATTGTTGAACATTCCGAATAATGGGTAACGTGCAAAGTTGAGGCCTTGGAACGTGACTCGAGGAAGCATAGCTGCTAAGGGGCGATGCTGTGTACTTCACTAAAGATATCATGATTTTGTATGCTTACCTTAGCTGAATGTGTAAAACAAAAAGAGTTGAATTTGTAGATGAGAAGAGAAAGGGATAATATAATCAATAATGGGTATCTTTGTGTCGATAAGATTTATGTGTTGCCTTGAAGCTTGAAGTGCCACAATTTGGAAGAGTTTAACGATTATTGCGAGGGAAGTAAGTGCGAAGAAGTTGACAAGTTATAGGCAGTGGTGAGGGAAAAGAGGCTATTGAACTTCGGAGTTGGAGAGAACAGAGAAGATATGGTGAAAAGATCTAAGAGAAGAGTTCCTAGGAGAGATGGTGGGAAACGTGACTTATATAGGTGGACCAAAACATGGTTGGTGACAACAACATTTTCTGGTAGATTTTCTAGGATACATAGACCGTTAATGAACCCAAATTAAAATTTCAAAATCATTTCAAATCAAACTTGTAAGTAGTCCAATTCAATTGATGTCCACCAGACAAATCATAAAATTTCAAATTATTTGTTAGCAAATTCCTCTTTCGTTATGACAATCAGGATAGCGAATACACATTTATGTTACTGTTCATTTTTACACAATTCTTGATCTAATAATGTTCTGAATCCCGCTAGACTCTTCCACTTAATGGACTAATTTTTTGGTTAGACACATAAGCTCAACCTTAATTATGTGTTTACTGATAGAGAAAAGGTGATTAACAGTGCGGCTCTCAGCGAGAAAGAAACAGAGTCAACTGATATATTGATTTGGTGTTGGTTCTTATCTTGAACCCCCCCAAAATTTTCTGTTTGTATGCTTATTTTATTAGAAGAGGTAAAGCAATAATTCTGCTCAAAAGTTGCTGCCGTCCATTCCTCATCGCAAATTCCATTCAGTTCATTGCAACTGCTTCATCAGTCTTGAAATCTATGCATTAAAATAGTAAACGAGAAAAGAAGCATGAACTGATGGTGTTTTAGACTACGTGCGACCTTGCTCATGTTAATGACACGGTGACGCTGATTACCAATATGTTTTCACTGCATATGTTTTTCATGTTACATTTCTTTTTAATTTCATTTCACATTCAACGTATATTGACGCCTAGTATATTGGTGCATGTGATTTGCGCTTGGTACACTGTGGATTGAAAAGAACGGGTTTTTTGTTTTCATATGGAAAAGGCATGCACTAAACGTATAGAAAATAAATACATTCTTTCAGCATAAAAAGTAACCATTAATATTCTTTTAAAATTATAAAAAAAATAAAAACAAATTTTAAATATATTAATTAATAATTTTTATATTTTTATTTATTATGAGATTTGTATCAACAAAAAATTCATTCATAAAGTGAATAAATTTATTTATTATATAAGACATTAATTTAACCATTCAAAGATGTGAATATTTTTAAAATATTATATAAATTTATGATATATAACTAGATGAACATGATTACAGATTACAGATTCAGTTGGCGCTTCTATATATAAAGCACCCAATTCACTAAATGCAGTCACAGGGTGGTTATGGGGGTTTCACGAGTCTATCTTTCCACATAAAACTCTGTTGCTTAAACAAATGTATTCCAATGTATACTTTAAATATCTTTTAAATTTTAAAAAATATTACAATTTTTTTAATCATATATTTAAAGACACATAATAAAAAAATGGTAAATTTTATTAAGAAATATAATATTTAATTTTGTAATATCATATGATTTTAATAAAAACTTACTGTATGTCAATAAAAGTGATCAAATTATTAAGGTTATAATTTTGGTGATGAGATGTGCATTTAAATTGCTTATGCATCTTCACAGGGGTTTTGCATCCTACTGCTAAACCATTGGAATATTCGTTAATTAGTCATACAAAACAAATCCTAAGGACTGAAGTGTCATTTGACATGTGTGCTTCGTCGAGCAATTTTGAAATAATACTAAACACAAACCAAATTAGTGGATGCAAATGAATTTGGATAACGTAGCCCAATACTCCAGTACCCGGATATGCATGTAAGCAATCCTCCACTGTCTGTACAGACACAACACACTACACACAAAGGTTGTTGCTCTATGCTTCTTGCGTAGGACTTTAATGCACACACGACAAGCTTCATAAACTATACTGAAATTCCTATTTTCTCCCTCCGGTGACCTGAAAATGGCAGTCTCTGCCGGCGGCCAGATAATGCTCTCGTCTACCATCCCAACAGGAGTGGCGTGTAGGAAGTGGAGGCTTGTAAAGTTTTGTAATGGGGAAATCATGGGACGTAAGCTTGAGTTACAAGGTGGTGGTGGTTGCAGTGGTTACACTAAGGTTGTTAAGAAACATATATGCATGTCTCTCACCGCTGATGTGTCTAGTGAATCCAAGGTTTAGCTCACTCCTTTGCTTCTCCTCCTCTTTGGCAACGTTATGTATAAACAAACGCCCAGTCAAGTAAAAGAAGATGAAATTTAGAATCTTAGTAAGGTAAAAGAGATGGTAGAAATTCAGCGCAATAGGTTCAATGTCACAATAAATTTTCTAGCCAAGGAATTGATGTTTAATTCTTATTTTATTAAGGATCTTGCTTAAAGAATTGATTAAAAAATTAATTAATAATATTTTAATTAAAAAAGTTAAAAATCATGATAAAAATGTATAAATGACACTTTTTAATAACATTTTTTTAATTAGTATATTAAGAGCACTAGCTAGTATTTATTTTTTATTAAATAGATAGAAGGTTCTCTATAGAAGTTCCTGCACTATGTTGTTATTGTTATATTATTATTATTAAGCTTGTTATTTTGATGGCGTTAATACGTCAGAATCCGGAAACAAAAATAGTATTTGGTAAAAAAAGATTGAAGCGGGTTGTTGAATATATATTTGTGGCCCATACTATAATGGTAAGCTACTTAGCTCCACCCCGTCAGCACCATTAGGTCTCATTCTTCTGCCCTTTTAGATTTATCTTAAATTTAATTCTACTCCCGCATAACACTTTTGCTTCCTATAAATTAAAAGTTTTCAAGTGTAGTGATATTTAAACCGTGAAATTCTTTTGAAAGAACTGTGAATGTGATTCCATATGAAGTTCATGAATAAATAAATAGAGTTGAAGTGAAGCCACTTAAATTCAATGCAGCCAGGTCGGTTAATAATGCATAATTTGTTAAGAGTTAGTACATTCAATGATGCTGAGTTTTCTATATGATGAATGGGAATATGGGGGTAGCGCAGTTGCGAGACATAGATATGGAAAGAAGGAACCCAAGAACAGTGTTGGCAGTGATTCTAGGTGGAGGAGCTGGAACCCGTCTCTTCCCTCTTACTAAGCGACGAGCCAAACCTGCTGTAAGTTTCGATTCCTATTCTTTTACCATTTTCTTAGTTATTCTATTAATTATGAACATAATATGGTGCACATACCCTTTAAAATTTTTGCTTTTGTGAAAATGGTTTTTGCTATTACTACTGTTTTACTTTTGAATAACTTGGGCAATAAGCAAATGAAAATGGGTGTAGTGGGATATCACAATCCATTCTGTAGAGCACTTAAATTGCATCATGTTACGGCTACATATGAATTTGTCATCTTCATCTTCTCTGGGGCTTTCCTTGGTAGGTTCCTATTGGAGGTGCTTATAGGCTGATTGATGTGCCAATGAGCAACTGCATCAACAGTGGTATCAACAAGGTGTACATTCTCACGCAGTTTAACTCAGCTTCACTCAACAGGCACATTGCACGTGCTTACAACTCTGGCAGTGGAGTCACCTTTGGAGATGGCTATGTTGAGGTATCTATCATGTCCCATCTTTAATTGCTTGCATTTCAAGTCAGTTATGCATGTGTGCCTGATATAAGATTATCTAAGAGTGTTTGTTCTATTTCAGGTTCTTGCAGCAACTCAGACTCCAGGGGAGGAAGGTAAAAGGTGGTTTCAGGGTACTGCTGATGCTGTGCGGCAGTTTCACTGGCTCTTTGAGGTATGCTATAGCGAATAGAGAACCAACAAAAACTATATTGGAGCTCTTTTTTATGATCCGAGTTATGTTATTTTAATTATTTGGGCGAGATGGATCACTGATGAGGATAAACACTGATTTTGTAGGATCCAAGAAGTAAGGAAATTGAAGATGTTTTAATTCTTTCTGGGGATCACCTCTATCGAATGGACTACATGGATTTTGTTCAAGTAAGGCACCATGCCATCTGATCAAACAACTCTTTCCCCTTTCAACTCAGTTGATGCATTCAAGTTATTGACTTTCAGATGTTTTGACTCGTGTTTTTATCCAGAATCATCGGGAGAGTGGTGCAGATATCACTCTTTCTTGTTTGCCAATGGACGACAGGTAGATTACTTGCCCCACATTGTAACTTTCTAATTTTTTTCAATATAAAAAATGGTGCACATATCCATCTGTTTCAATATGCATAGTCACTCACTTAATTCTTGACTAGCATACTAGCATACTCGGCATTTTGAGAGGTCTTTGTGTTTACTAATATAATGAATGAGACATTCAAGTTTCTCAATGTATGCATGCAAGCTAAATCTGAATTAGATCTACCATTTCTTTTTACCTTTCTTATGACTAAAGCCCACGAGGGAAAAAAGACCCAAAAGAATTGCTAACTCAACAATTTATATTAATTTATAGGCTCAATAATATGTATCATATATTACTGTTTAAAACTATACTTTGCTACCATGATAGCCGTGCCTCAGATTTTGGTCTAATGAAGATAGACAATAAAGGAAGGATCCTTTCATTCAGTGAAAAGCCCAAAGGAGAAGACTTGAAAGCAATGGTAAAACTCATGTTTATCATGCTCCTAATGCTCCCAAAAGTTTCAAGAAGTAGATTTGCTGATAATATTGCTTTATAATCTAGCAAATAGATACAACCGTTTTGGGCCTTTCGAAGGATGAGGCTCAAAAGAAACCATACATTGCTTCAATGGGAGTGTACGTCTTCAAGAAAGAGATACTTCTAAATCTTTTAAGGTACTGATTTAATCTAGCAAAAAGTTAGGCTTGTCCGTGTGGTTTATTTCATCTATTAATATATTGTATAAAATACAGAAATATTCAGTGAGAATGAATTGACCCTGTTGCAAAGCTTTTTTGCTAACGGCTACAATTTAATTTAATTTAGATGGCGCTTTCCAACTGCAAATGACTTCGGATCAGAGGTTATTCCTGCTTCAGCTAGAGAATTTTACATGAAGGTATGACCGGTAAAAAGCACTATAAAGGATTCTTTTTACTTACGGTGTGAGAGTATTCATCACTCTTTTTAGGGCAATAGATTTTATTATACTTGTGCAGCAAACACAACCAACGTACATGTCTTTCTTCAGTCAGTCATCACATATGCACCCACAAAACTCACATCTGAAGGATGAAAATCAAACGTTAGGAAAGAGACCCCATGCCTTGGTTACTTGATGTTTTTAGATTTAAGAGCTATCAAGAAAAATAGAACGTGGAAACTTATCTTTAGGCCCAGAACAAAGTTAATTTTCACCTATTATGAATATTTATAGCAAAAATTTGTGTGCAGGCTTATCTCTTCAATGATTACTGGGAAGACATAGGGACCATCAGATCATTCTTTGAGGCAAATCTAGCCCTCACTGAGCATGTGAGTGTCATATCACCTTGTTGAGTTCAAAATCTTGAATTTGTTGAGTTCATTTGTAAATATTGGAAGGTGGTAAACCTAAGAAATGAACTGAACTTCATGCTTCAAAAAATGACTCAACTATAAACATTTTTTTATTTCATCTTTTTCAAGAATTATTTTCCTTGTTCCATGATTGAGATCAGGAGTCTTAAAGCTTTCGTCTGAAATCTTTTCAGCCACCCCGGTTTAGCTTTTATGATGCAGCAAAACCAATGTATACATCAAGGAGAAACTTACCACCAACAAAGATTGACAATAGCAAGGTCAGTGCTTCAAACTTATTCTGAGAAACTTTGTAATAAATAATATATATTGTTGCTTGCCTATATTATCACGTGCAGAAGCAGAATGCTGCACCTACTGATTTTGAGTAATTCTTAAACTACAACATCGTTATTTGTCCTTCTTTGTGCAGATTGTGGATTCAATCATATCACATGGAAGCTTCTTGAATAATTCCTTCATAGAGCATAGTGTTGTTGGAATCAGATCCAGAATAAACTCAAACGTCCATTTAAAGGTTTGGTGTACCCCTTCCACATCTAAGCACGTATAGTTGAAAAATTATGCAAGATGACAATGCATATTGTTATTAACATTCCCATAGATACTCGATTTGTTGTGTGATGCATAAAAGTCTCAAATTTAAGGGTGAACCATTCCAAATTTTTTTTTCAGCAGAAATATAAGACAAATTTGGAAGTTATATTTTTGTACGTTCTTATTGTATGCACTCATTTGGTTCTATAACTTCTGGCGCATTACAATTCTATGCAGGATACAGTGATGCTTGGTGCTGATTTCTACGAAACCGATGCAGAGGTGGCAGCACTATTAGCAGAAGGAAGAGTTCCAATAGGAATAGGAGAAAATACAAAAATCAAGTATGAATTGCAACTCTTAATCTCCTAACCGTTGGCTTCTCTCGCTTTGCTCACTGCTCACATTTTTGCAGAGACTGTATTATTGACAAAAATGCTAGAATTGGAAAGAATGTTGTGATAGCAAACTCCGAGGTATGCTTTTAAACATTACCGCAACAGCAGTACATGAGAACTATATGATAAGCCTGCCAATTGATACATGAAAATTCAACAATACTAGTTTAATCTATCAAAGAAAAATAAAAAGAAATTAGACTACAAGCAAGGCAATGATTTTTTATATGATGAATTGTGTGAAACGTGCTAAATCTGCTTTTTAATGAACTGCAGGGCATACAAGAGGCTAATAGATCTTCAGAAGGGTTTTACATCCGTTCTGGAGTTACCGTTGTATTAAAAAACTCAGTAATTGAAGATGGATTCATCATATAATAAACTCGCCCATGATTTGCTTGACACCCATTTTGCCGTGAATTGAGGATGAGAATCTTTTCGTTTTTGAGTAAAAAGCTTCTTAAAAGAGAGAATCAAAAGTCAATGTGCTGTCCGAATGGATAGGATAGATTTACACTTCATACATCTCATACTCCAATTCCACTAAGCTTTTCCAAGTTTTTAATTATATATCATAATTAATTACTTATTCAAGTAGATTTTTACACGGTAAAACGTGTACACCTTTCTATTTGTACTTGAATGTCTCTCGCTGTCTGAACCCAAACCAAGGGCTTTGAGCTTCTGAATTTGAAGCCTTCGCAACTTTAATCACCTTTTTTGGTCATTATTACTTTAGTCACTCTTTTTTTTGTCAAAATTACTTTAATCCTTTTAAAAACGTTTTCGGCTGTCAGCTATACAGATTGGGCTGACCTTAGGCGAGCCCTGAGGCCCGATACAGTTCTTCTACATAATCGATCCACATAGGCCCAATTGCAACCTCATATTTGACATGGCCCAGTTCACATTTCGATCCAAATGGACAAGCTCGAAAGGAAAGGCGGGACGACTAAACTTCATCTTGAACTACCCGTTGACAAAAGAAAAAAAACAAAAAAATCCGGCCATCCCTTCTTGGCAGAGTCTGGACAACTTAATCATTGCTTTTCTTTAAAAGCTTGTTGATATTTTACTATATTACCTTGTTTAAAACGATGAAGTGTCCTACAATTTCAGTGCCAATATATGAAGATCATCCAGAATATAAAACAATTTTAAAGGTGAGGCAACTATAAAAATTACCTAATTTAGGCACATTATATTATAGTAAATCAAACTAAAATATGTGAAAGGTTAACTAGGGTTTATGGAATAAGCTCTTCACAGTTAAACATCAACTCATTTTCATATCTCTGCAGAACAAATCGCTCATCTGGAACAATAATGCTAGTAACAGTACAATTGTTGTCTGAAAAGGGTTTCCTACAAGTTCTCCCTGCTCGATGAAGATAATCGATGGAAGTCCTTGGCAAATCAAAGTTGTAAATGTGAGACATTTCTGGAAGGTCAACTCCTCTAGCAGCTATATCTGTTGCTACAAGTAGATAGCCACCGCCTTTTCTAACCTCCTGGATCAAAAGAAACACCAAACAGTTGTTACCACTATTTTCCCCCCAATTTAACCTTGCTATTTACTCACTAAATACATATTTTGATGCTAACATCCCAAACAAGCTTATTTCTGCTATATGGTTGTTGTGCCAGGCTTAAGAAGTATTTTAATGAGAAGGTTCCCCAACAATAGCAGTCACACTAAAAATCTGGTACCTTTTAGGCAAAGGACTAACTCTTGAACTAAATTTTCCCCACATGTGATCAAGTTCCCTTGACGAATAAACATCATCCTCAGCCAGTATTGATCGTAGAATTCCCTTATAATTTGGTTGAATAATTTATTTCCCACTGCAGCAATGTCAAGGTTTTATTAAATTATTGACTGTGTTTTCTAGATCAATAAGCTTGCTGGTTCCCATTTAATCCCGGTAAACCAAACAGGATAATTTGGTTATCAGAACAAGAGTTTAGCTTGTCAATCAAAACTAACGTCAGACCAAGCTGTAAGATGTTTGACTGAAGGATGACAGTCATACTGAATTTAGATGAAAAATACAGTGATCAATGATGCAAGGAACGAAAGAAGACTTCTTCCTCCCGGGGAATAGTCAAATCAGACTTCACTCTAAAGTTGAGGAATTGCAATAGAAAGAGAATCCTCAGAATAGCGGCTAGGCCATAACCACTATGTGTCAGAAAAGCAATATCAACTATGGTTTACTATGTTCGACGCCTGGATTTCTAGAGTAGATAATTAGGCATTTACCTATGAAAAAACCTATCAATATCAATCCACTGAATGGCACTTACCAATAGTGAAGCTGCTCGTGAATTGAAATTCATTTTGTCTTCGAGAAGGAGAATATCTAAAGAACCTTGATATGATGTCTTCAAAAAGTCAATCAGAAGGGAGGTTGATGGAGCATTGCCAGCCTTTTTTGACTTCTCAGACTGCATAACAGAATACATAGTATTAGATTATTGATAACTTGATGCATATTACCAATCCAACATTACCAGCACAAAATAACAATACAACATAGGAAAGAATCATCACCTGAATATGCATTGGATAATAATTATGCAAGAACAGATGGAATTATTTCATCAGTGAATGATAATTATGCAGTTTCTCATGCCTCAAACTATAATGCTCTGAATAATTAAAGGAAAGCAGGCCATGTACTATGTAAAATGTTTAATTTAAAGTAAATTACATCCACTCCCAAAACCTACTGATTGCATAATCCAATTGAAGAAGAAGGGGGAAGTGATAAGAAAGATATTCTTCGCATACCTGCTCACCAACAAATATAATGCCAGACTCAGGTGCATCAGATTGTATCAAGGATAACACGGTTTGTAGTTTTCTTTTTGTATCACACATCTGATGATTGAAATAGCATTAGACATTAGCTAATACCTAAATTACGTCTTTAATAATTAAGTGACCTACAAAAAGATGTAATTGGAGTTTAAACAATTCTATATACATCTTTCCAAGGTCAAAAGGGTGGCAGGCAGATATGCTATCAACACATTAAAATTAAAAGACACGATTTTTTACTCTAAATATTTCTTACTATAAATCTATGATATAGGCGACATGGCATGGGCTCCACTGCACTCACATGAATATGAACCACATCTCTCTGGAAAACAAATAAAGTCAGATTGAAAACATAAGGTATCTCAAAGAAAATCATATAATCAGATCAATATACCTTTGTCCACTTCTGCTGCACAGAGTCGTGAAGAAATCGTTTGTGCTGTGGTATAGATGCACTGGCAAAAACTGTCTGACGGTTACTACAAGATGAATATGTAGTCAAAATCTTTCGTAGAGAACTCACTTGCTTTGAGGAATTGAAAATGCAGTCAACCTAAGCAGACAATAATATAAGAAACATAAGAAATAAATGTTTACAAAACTGCTGAGGGGGAGAACCAAAAACAGAAAGCTGACAGGGCCTATAAAGTTCCAGGTCATGTGATTTTAATATTTCACAGCTTATAATTTCCAAAACGTGTATACAAACTTTTCTACTCATAAAAATGTGGAAATAACGAAATTTAATATGATAAAAACACATTTTTAAACTGCCTTTAATTTATTTTACTAGCCTTTTCAGATTGCATTGAGGGATGAGAATGAGATGATGAACTACGCAACTTTTTCAAAGCAATTATAGCTAGATGGTAGTCCAGTCATATGTTTGAACTTTTAAAACACATACAGAGACAATAAAACAAGATAAATCTGAAAATCTTCTTTCTTTCCTCACTGAAAAATGTATAAAGACTAGTTGATTCATGTTTTAAAGATTAAAACTTTAACCTCATCAACAATCAGCACCCGCACAGTTTCAAGCGAAAAAGTATGTCTTTCAAGCATTTGGCATAAACTCCCAACTGTTGCAACCACTACTGTTGGAGGCTCCGCCTGAAATTTGAGAAAGTTAAACAAGCCAGAATGAGCAGGAAAAGGTTTCTTTATAAGACTTAATGCTGCCAGTGATCAGTTAAAGAGAAGATAAAAATCGCTGTAAATGGAAGTAGTGTTCAATGGGATCTATCACATGCTGTTATTATGTCACATATGTAACAAGAGTGAGACATACTTGGACAAATAGCTTAATTAAGCACTTATTTAATAAGAATTTATCAAGTGAGAGCTTATTCATAAGCTAGACGATAAAGGTAAACTGAAATAAACCAAAAAAAAATATTTGATAAGTTTTTCTATGAAACTTACTGAAATGAGCAAAACAAAGCTTAGCCATAAAACACTTCCTTAAGCTTAAATAAGCCCTTCCATTATTATGAATTTACAATATTCAAAACTAAAGCTTAACAAATCCAACTAACTTGAAGTTGTTAAATACTTCTTCCAATGCTTTTTATAAAAAATAAATAATTCATTAAGACTAATAAAAAAAAATTATATGTTGTAAATTTATACTATATTTTAGAAATATAGATAGTATTAAATGGTTAAATTGGTGACCTATATACAAAAAAAATGAATATATTCATTTACATAAATAATGAGTAAATGTCTTGTTAATACAATTCTCACAGTAAATGAGGATATATATAAAAAGAATTTAACAATTAATACATCTGAAAATGTGTTTTTATTTTTTATAATTAGGACAAATAAAAATGCCAATAGTTGTTTTTTTATAAAAGAAACCAGCGGGAGTAACTTTTTGTAGTAGTAGCATATACCAAAAACTCAGTACTCTAAAATTAATTGACATTTGAGCATTTATAATTCAAAGTATTGTGCATCCATAATATTTGTGTCTGCAAAACTTTGAAATTGAAGAAAGAAAGAAATTGGGCTGTGAATGAATTGATTAGCGGTAGATATTGTAAGAGTTAATAAAATTTTATCAGGCCAACATAAAAATATGAGAAGCAGGAAGCAAATCCGTTATCTTTCAAATAATCTCTATAAAGATTAAAAGAGAGGCTTTCATGAAGTCTTATGTAAAATTAAAAAAATGCAGCAACAACAGTCGTAAAATCTATTTGGTTAAAAATACAATAAAAAAAAAACTCATCGAAGAAAAAGATGGAAGGCACCTTCAACCAACTCTTGTGTCTTCTCAATGTTCCTCCATCTAACAGAGCCATGATGGTACATAACTTCTGCTCCCCATCAACTCCATCTGGTTTTGCAGCCAATGTCCTAGCAACCTTAGTGACCTTGTCATTAAATATTTTTGGCACTCAGTAATTTCCCTTTCCAATGGGATTCCCCTTGATATGTTTCACGAAAGATAATTGAAATGCCACTATGATATCATAAGTCATAATTCATAAACATTCATACTTGCATGCCAAGTTCACGTGTGGGCACCAAAACTAGAGCTTGTACAGAAGATTTTCCAGCATTGACAATGGAATGGATCAAAAGCAGGTATGTAAGCGTTTTCCCAGAACCTGTCTACACAAGAAATAAAATAAGGTTACATTTCACAAAAAATGTAATGGAAGCATAGGGGAAGATGAGGACTGTGGAGGCAGGACAACAATGGTAGCAGAAACAGAGAAGGGAAAAGTATAATAAAAACTGCATAGAACTGCCATTGGTACCATTCACAAAAGAAATGAAACCATGTCAACAAACCAAACAATCACAACACCTGTAAAAAAATTTCTACCGTATAAGAACTCAATCAACGGAATTGTAGTTTAGTGCAGGCTGAGCAAGAAAGGTAAATTTTATAACAACGGAAAATAATCAAGACTTGCAGTAAGGTTAAAGTGTTGAATCCAATGAAAAACTAGAAATGCTTCTTTAAATGATGTAGTAAACATCTATATTTACACTCATTCTCTATTTCTTAAAAATTTCTTTCACGGTCCAACCTGAGCTGTTTTTCTGCCTCATTTACTAACCTTGGTTTGGGGGTGAGGCTTTTTCCTTACTTATGCAACATCAAATCGGTGTATAGGCTATGAGGAAACATAACAATTGTATTCATTCATTCTTATTGATGAGTAAAGGGAAAAAACTGAAAGGAGAAAAATAAAATTACCTGAGCATGAAGGATGCAATCACGCCCGGAGAAAAGATAAGGCAACGCTTGCTTCTGAACATCTGTGGGCATGACATATCCAATCTCTTGCATTCTGAAACATATTAATCAAAATTCATAACATCAAATTATATGGAAATAATCAATGGCGAGCGCAAAAAGAATGCAGAAAAGGAATTTGAAATTGCCTTTGCAAAACATGGTGAGGAACATGATCTTGGCATATTTCTCTCAAAGTGGGAGTTATGGGAGTGAAGTTGAGGTTGGTGGAGGATAAGAGTTTGAGAGAATGGTTACGTGAGCGAGGGTTATAGCGAGTAAGAGTTGGCTTTTCTGATGAATGAATACCCAAAGTAGGAAGAGGAGACACTGAGAGTGTTTTGGTGTTCATGTCTTGTCTAGCTGATAGATAGACGAAGACCACCATGACCCCAAACTACAAGAATGACGAATTCAACAAATGTATCAAAATGGGCTGGGCTGGGATGGGATGGTTTCATTTTGTTGTGGGCCTGCAAACATGTTTCTCCCAAAATGGACCCAAGCTGATTTGGTCCGTTGACAGCAAAAACAAAAACTGAGTTGGTCCCAGCTCTGAAATAACAAAATCTATTTTATTTAATTTTATTCTTTAGAATTTATTATTTTAACATCAATTTTTAAAAAATTAATTAACCTTGAATACAATTCAAATATGAATTTTAAGTCTTGAAAATTAGTTTTACACTGAGAAAATAATGAAAACTTATTTTATTAACAATTATTAGTTATGGGTATAAGAATTGTAAAGTATTCTTAATTTTACTTCAAAATTAATTTTATTCCATCGTGAAAATAAATAAAATTTACTAATTTTATTTTTAAAAAAATTTAATAAATTTTTTTAAAGCTCTGGTTAGATGGTTTTTAGTTTTAAAATTTAATTAAAAAGTAATTAAACTTTATTTTCAACAAGAGTCTAATTTTATTTTATTCACTTTTAGCATGACTTTTTTTACACTCTATCAATTAAAAAATATCATAAAATAACATACTAGTATTACATTTTATTTAAATTCTTTAAATAAATTTATTTTATTTTAAAAATTGTTTAAATTAAAGTTTTATTAATCTCAAAATTTAATATTGAATTTTAAAATTAAAAATAATAAATATTTATTAAAAAATACATTTATTATATTAAAATTATAAAAATACAATAAATATTTTAAAAATAAAACATTATCATTGTCAATTGGTCAAACTTAATTTTACATATCCTTACCGAAAAAAAAAAAACTTAAGTTCATGTCTTAACACTTCTTATAAATAAATGCACACTTAGAACCAAACATAGGTCCATAACCCTGTAAGTTTTTTTTTTTTTTTAAAGTTATGATGTTATTTAAAAAATGAAAAATTTATGGTATTATTAAAAAAATATTTATATTAATTCCAATAATAAAGTGAGACAATATATAAAAGGTTATAATATTTTTATAATAAATTTTTATGATAAATTTTTTTAATAATAAATTTTATTATTTTTTCATCGCATCGCTTATTTTATTTTATTTTTATATACAAAAGAATTTCTCATGTGTAAATTATAAAATTTGAATGTTTTCATATTATTTTTAATATGATACAATAATGTTAAAAAGTAAAAAAGCGAGAGAGAATCCAAATAGGGTGGATCGGTAGCATTCCCATCAAAATCAACCGTCTCTTAGTAGGAACTTTCTTGCGTTTTCTGTCTTTCTCTTCTTTTCACAATTCTTGTCTTTGACCTTTTTACTCACCCTCTGCTTTTCTACGCTCCCTTTTCTTTCTTTGTTCTTCTTCTCCACCGCCGTGCACTTGCCCCTATCCATGGCAAATTTCACCTCCTCTTTTCTTTCTCCTCCGTCTATGTCATACATTGCAACTTCACTACCTTCTGCTGCTTTCGATGACACTTCCGACGACGCCTGCAGCATATGTCTCGAGCCCTTCAGCACCGTTGACCCTGCCACCGTATGATCCATCGTCACTCTCTTTTTTGTTTCTCTTCACCCATCACCTTAACATGTTCTATTTTCAGTCCGTGCATCTGGGCTTCTCCAAAAGTTACAAACTTGAATGAATGCTCCCATTCTCTTGGCTTAATTTCATCAGATGGAACGTTCTTGTTGGTTTTTAAAGATAACCTGGGACTGGTCTGTGGGTCTGATAGGTTACTTTTAATCTGTAGCTTTAGAAGATTGTTATGGTTGAGTTGGTAATATGATCTATACTCACTTAAAATTTTGGATTTTTTTTTTTATAAATTGTATTTATTTTATTTTATTTTACTCTTTTGAGATACATGTGTGGATCTGTTTCTTTCGGTGGCAGTGTTCCCTCAAATGCAAATATGTGAGGCACTGGGAATGATACACGTTGAAGAAGAAAAAAATGAAGTTACACACAATGTGCATATTTGCAGTCGTGTTATTTTCTTTTATTCTTGCTCCAATTAACTTAACTACTTGATCTAGGTGGGGTGCTTGAGGATGAAGATTGTTGAAACATACGAGTGTTTAATCTTTTAAAAATCAAGGAGATGCTTTCTGTTTTCATGTGTCAAACTTTGTAGGCACACATCCCATGTCTAAGTCTAACCACGGTACCGTGCTTTATGTGTGGTTGAATTTCAACTTTCAACCTGTAGAAAGTCAAAAGGAAATTTTTTCCGTCATTAGCTGCCAAGTATTGACATCTGAAGCATTGAAAAGAGTATTCATTGACCTGTTTCTTTTTCATCTGCAGACTACCAGTTGCAAACATGAATACCATCTGCATTGTATTCTTGAATGGTAAGCGCAATTGCTCAAATAGATAGTTAATGTTTGATCGTTTAGGTTCTTTTTTGAAAGACTTGGAAAGGACGTGATTGTTTGCTTCTAACCATTAATTTTTCCCCTTAAGGTCACAGAGAAGCAAAGAATGCCCAATATGTTGGCAGTTACTTATCTTGGAAGACCCTGGCAGGTATTTGTTTCTTAACAATACACTTTTTGACACTAGAATTGGTTAACTTTTAAAAATAAAAATAAAAAAGTGATCAATTTATAATTTAAGTGCTTTTGACATTTTAAAAATTAATCAATGTAGCATTTTTTTTTTTTTTGTAAACTTCTCTCCTCGCTCTCTTCCTGCAACCCTTACACCAATCATTGATACATCATACATCCCTTTTGAACCTTCCTTGTAGTTTTAACTTTTAATCAATCATCCCTCTTTTTGTTGTAGCCAAGAGCTTCTAAATGCAGTGGAGGCTGAAAAACGCCTAAGATCAAGAACTGTGTGTTCACATGCATCCACCACTAATTCTGGTAGCCCATATGAACGGCTTAGCGATGCACAAGTGAGTGATATTTATCTAAGAATTGAAAATGTTAATCTGTTTTGTATTGTTAAAATAGTTATTTATATGTTGGGTTGATATGAGTATCATTTCATTGATTTGAGCAAAATTTATGATCATTCTTTGATAAAGGCAAATTATTCTGTCGCAGGATGATTCTTGTTCAGATGACTCTGACTTTGATGAGCAACTTATGCAGCAAGTAGTGGCTGCTACAGATAGAGCTCCATATATCTGCAGACGGGGAAGGCAGAGATCTCTTGGAGTAGGTCCTTCAGAGGTTCTTGTTTTCAACTCTTCTTTGCATGCATCTGGGATGCGACCAAGACTTACAACTTCATCATCTGGGGATAGTTCACCAAATTCTGGTGCACCCAGGTATTAATCAGTGCAATCATTTGTTTACCAGGAAGTTTTTTCTGTTCCTAAAGTATTCACTCATCAATTTCTTAATATACAGAGTTATCTATGGCCAGCCATCACCTGAGAGTGTGAGGGGACTAGACACTCGTGAAATGTTCTCCTTACCCGAGTCCATCAAATCCAAACTTTCTGCTGCTTCAGCCAGGTAAAATTGTTTGTGCACAAATTCTTGCATGTTCTTGTTAGAAATTTAGAAACCCTTTGGTGCTAATATATGTGACAGATGCAAGGAATCAATTTCAAAAAATACTCGTGGTCTTAAAGAGAAGTTAATTGCTCGTAATGCCTCAGTAAAAGAGCTGAGTAAAGGTGTTCAGCGTGAGATGAATGCGGGCATTGCTGGTGTTGCACGGATGATTGAACGCCTTGATCTTGCTACAAAACTCTCCTCGACTCCTCTCAGAACTTCAGGTTTCCATGTAAAAGGGAAGTCTATCCAAGAGAGTGGAGAGAGTGGAGTTTTGGTTGGCGATTTTAGTTCAAATGCTCCCTCACTCGATTCTACCTTGGTTGCTGTTGGAGTGGAAATTCCTGCTTCATGTGTTCAGGTCTACATTTTAAGATTAATTTTTAAGGAAGATTTTTTGCTTAAAGGTGGCTAATATTTTTCATGTTGCTTTCTTCATTCAGACTGAACATGATGCTGCGAGGACTTAACTCGGATGGTGAATCTACCATCTTGTCTCACTAATCCCGGAAGAGGCCTGCAACGCAATGCAAGAGACGATTTGATAACCAATGTAATGTGCCTGTTGGTATGCGTCCTGCATTGCTCAATAATTTGTAGGAATTCTAATTATATATTAGTTTACAGAGCCAGGATGATGGACCTATTACTATCAGATATGTATGCATGTAGTTTTTTTAATTCCCTTTACTTAGTGATACTTGAATCAATTTTAATGATATAATACAGAGGTTCTCTGCTTTATAGTATCCAATTTTGCCAATTTGATTCCAAATTAAATATTACTCATGTTACTCATATTAGGAGTGGAAATGAGAGTTAAACGAGTCAATTGTTCAACTTAATTCGGCTTAGTAAGAATAAGAATTAATAAATTGGTTCAGCTTGAAATTCAATTAAAATTTTATTCGAACTCAAATTCAGTTCATTCATTTGGTTTGTGAATAGTTAAATTAACTAGAATCTATCTGAATTCGAGTTGCTTTAGTGCTATTAGGATATAAACAAATGTTATGGCTTTTACCAGATAGATGGGTAACATGGGGCTTTTGTCTCGTTATGATCACAAAGGAGCGAGCAAAAATAGAACGACTCACGTAAACTTTATTCATCCCAAGCCATATGTTCCAAACCGCAATATGTTTAAAAACATAAAATATACATCCGAACAAGTTTGTTGGTTGATCCGATCCTACAGGCCCATCTGAACCAAATAGTCTCGCTAGAACTGCTTATTCACGAGGTTTAATAGTAGCAAACAGGCGAAGGCACAATCACCAGCCAGCATTAAGCATTGACAATCATCCCACCTGCAAAACAACCCCAAGAATCTGTAAGCAAGATTAATGTAAAAGGCACAAGGAGAAGAAGCCACGCACCATTTGGATGGAGGACTTGGCCGGTGAAGTAGGAAGATTCCTGAAGGGATGCCAAGAACAAATAACACGGTGCAATCTCAAAAGGTTGTGCTGCCCGCTTCATTGGCACTTGACACCCCAAGTTCTGGATCATCTCAGAAGGCTTTGAAGCAGGCTGTATTGGCGTCCAAACTGGACCCGGTGCCACAGCGTTAACCCGAATTACCCTGCTCACCAGCTGCTGAGCAAGACCTCTTGTGAAGGCAACAATAGCTCCCTTTGTGGCCGTGTAGTCCAATGCTTCAGGATTCCCATCGTAGGCGTTAACTGAAGTTGAGTTGATGATGGAGCTTCCTTCTTTCATGTGCTTCAGAGCATGCCTACAAATGAATGCACACTCATTTGGGTCATTATATGTTTAACTCTAGTCAACGTTAAAAAAACTCAAAACCCATCTTGGATTTTTTCTATACCTGACCAAGAAGAATTGTGAAAAGATGTTGGTCCTAAACACTCTTTCAAGCTGTTGTTCTGTAATTTCCTCAACACAGTTTCTCAGGTGCTGCTCAGCTGCATTGTTAACTAGAACATCAATGCGACCATATTCTTTGACGACTAGTTCAATGACTTGTTTGCAGTTTTCATCAAAGCCAATATCCGCAGCTATTGCCAATGGATCTTGTGCATCACCTGTCTTGGCTTCAAGAAGCATCTTCAGAGTGTCATCCTTATCCCTGTCCTCATGTCCCTTCACGTATGTAAAAGCCACCGTTGCACCCTCTTTCGCGAAACACAGGCAAATCGCTCTTCCAATCCCCGAGTCACCCCCTGTCACCAACGCCACCTTTCCCTGTATGTACAAACATGCATCTTAAACAAAAACACAATAAGGTGAAAAAAAAAATGTTTACTTTGTCTTGTGGTAACACAAGAATGAAGAAAAAGAAAAGAAGCTAAACACAACCTATACCTGAAGCTTATTGGCGGGGTTGTGGTGAGGATTTATGGCTTGTGGGAGTGGTTGCATTGCATGCTCTTTTCCTGGCTGAGTTTCCTGGCTCTGAGGCGGGAACTTACTAGGCTCATTGCTTGCCATTTTTGCGGAATGATCACAAACTGACTGTGAAGTAAACTTTGAATTCGGGTGCTTGAAGCTGAGTGCGTGGTATGAGGATGTATAGTGAAGACGCTTTGGGTTAGAATTACGGGTTGTTATGATGAGGAGACGTAATAGTATGTCTAAAGAAGGAATGGGTGCCAAGTGGAATGTGATAGTATGCCACGTGTGAGTGGATCGCCAACGTGTCATATGTGGGGCACTGGAACTGACAGAACACGCTCAGAGTCTTGGGCCAAGCGGTGGAGTTCAGAAGTATCTGAGTCATAGAGACCATCATCAGATATCAGTAATTGATTGCACACTAAATTATATGCTAATTTGCTAGTTTTTGTTTCTGTCATGGTTCATGCTTCACCATAAACTTTCAACCTAAAACCAAAAGGATTTTCGTACGAACGAATGATCAGTTATTCGGTTCAATTAACAGTTCATTAAGGTTTTTCTGTAATAAAATTGTCGACCAAATCATTCATTGCTCTTAAGTTTTTTCTTTACTTGTAAAAGTTCATTTTTTATCTATAAAAATTATAGGTTCATACTCACATTTAGGTGTGAAGTGAGTGAAAAAAAAAGGGATTAAAAAATGTGATTGATTATGGGTAGAAAAAGGGTAAAAAATGTGTAAAAAAAATGTAAATGTATAAAAATTTATATAAAAAGAAAAATACTGTTTCATTATGTTTATTCATGACATTAAGTTCAGCTAAGATTTGAGTGACGACAGGACCGAGTTTAGTTGCAGATAATTTCTAGTTTCAGTAATGTTCAGAGTACAGTAACATGATTCCAGCTTCAGTTGAACTTGAAGATAAATGGCCATTTTTTCTAAGAAAAGGACAAGGAAATAAGTATGCATGGCCCTTTAGACCCGGATGGAGATTGAGTGCTAATAACGAAATAACATGCCCCATCGTGCAAGAAATTAATAATACTTATAGTTGGTAGACAAACTTTGGGCAGGGTAGAGTCAAATGTGTTTTCTTTTAGATGTATTTTAGTATTAATATATTTTTTTAAAATATTTAATTTTATTAATTATTATAGTAAAATAAATTAGTTTTGTTAAAATAATTTTATTAAAAGCGCTAAAGTAATGCTCTGATTCACTTGACTCTCACAAATTGGTCCAAAACATATATGATATTGATATTGCTATTATAATAATATTTTTTAACTGAGTGCCATTTCATTTATTGCATAGGTTTTGAGCAATTAAACAAAGATACAAACACGAAATGGGCCTCTCATGGCTTATTGTTATTAAGGGGATGGCAAAAGTTGGAACAAGCCTTGCAAGCAAATATTTTAAGTCGGAAGGAGTAATCGGCAATTCCAACTTTTTGCCTAGTACACGTGGCAGTAATGTATACAAATAATTTCAAATAGATAAATTAATTTTTTAATTGTTTATTAAATAATATCATTCTGGTTAAAAATCCGGTTCCTCAAGTTATTAGCCCATCAATATTTAGCTTCAAACACTAAGCTAAAAGGTGGAACAGGGTTATATCACGCCACTTGCTAACAGTGACTCTATTATATCACGTCAGAAATTTGTGTGTAAACTTACCTAAAAATAAATTATGTAATGCTTAACTGCATAATTTAATTACACGTCTATGTTCTTTGCATGGTTATCAAACTGCCAATTTATGCAGCTGCAATCTGTATAATACAATTGTTGACTGTTCACATTTAAGGCAACAGGCGCAGATTAGCGCAACAAAAAGAAAATTCGAAAGAAATAGTATTAAATACAAGCATATATTCATCAAACTAGATAACAAACAAATCATGCATGTGCACACGGTGAAGGGTTACAAAACCTTGGTAAGCCTTGCTAAAAAGACTAAATAGAATACATGACATTCCCATGTACATAATGACCTACATATAGCCATAGAATTATTGCCTAAAGATTAAAGAATTAGATCCATAAATAATCAATCTTAGCAAAGTAATTAATCAATATAGCTTTGTAAAATCATGCAGCTTTGGGGAATCCTCGGCCATTTTTTGGTTTGAAAGAATTGTTTACAGGAACTTGAGAAACCATTCTTGTATCTTGAGACTGCTTTTGATATTTTGCGTTTGAACTAGATCTTCCTCTCCTTTGCTTTCTTCTAGGCTGTGTCGATTGTGGGATAAATACACCTGTCCCTTTGCTTTGTATTCTCAAAGCTTGCTCATAGAGTGAAGCAGACTGTGGAGGAGGATGGATTGCTCCAGATAAAGACTGAAAATAAGTTTTAAGGATGTTAAGACCATGCATGAACAAAATGAATAAATATATCCTGTTTTCCAAATGCTAAAATTGGAATAACAAAAAGTTAAAGTGAAAAACCTGAAGAGAGTCTGCGTGACAACAAGGAAGGGGGTCTTCATCTTCATCCATAATTAAGAGAGAAATTTGCTTGCTCAAGTCTGCAAAAAACAAATCATCTTCCTGTTCCACAGCAACTTCCATATCCATGTACTTAATACAAAGACTTGGAAGTTTTCTCTACCTTGGCATGAAACCAAGTATTAGAGCTGCTAATCTCCCTCTTTGAGCTATGATGTTTCTTTTTATTCTATTGTCCCAAATGTATGGGGATATGTAGTTTTAATATAGAGAAAAAGTGTCAAAAGCATGGGTGAGTCGAAATGTATTGGATGGACATGTGGGTTGGTGGGGTCATGGTCACAGTTGGCCAATCTGGCTAAGACCCACAAACCCCCCACTAGAATCATGCAAGTGTACGGTGATATTATCCAATATATCGTGAAAGAGGTGAGGAACAGTGGGCAACAACTATTGTCTAGATATCTAATCCTAGATAGATTCAATCCCTTAACATATATACTTGGTTGTGGATGGTCCACTCTCTTTCACTCTCCCTCTCGTATCCTAAAACAAAATGTTATGACTCATCATATTCTTAGCTATGCAAACAATCAATTTTTTGTCCCAAAGGTTCTTATCTGTTTTGTATCTTCTAGCGGTTGCTCATGGTTAAGATTAAACCACCGAGACTGATCCTGTAACGGTAAGTGGATCTTCATGTTGCACAACTTGCAATGGGGACCCAAATAGTATCAAAAGTATGTTTTTGGTACCTTTTTGGAATAATAGTTTAACAAGGATAATGGGTATATGATTGATTTTATATGCCAGTTACCATCGCATATCACAACTTAACTAGCGATAGAGAGGACTAGACAGGTCAATTTGTTCCACTTGTTGCGGTTGATCCGATCCGGATTTAACTCCTTTAAAACAAGTGATCTACTTTATAAAAGAAATAATGAATATTAATGAATTTATAATTTATTATATATGTATTTGTAATATTAACAGTTGAATTCTTTAATAATTAGTTTTTTTATTTTATTTTATTTTTAAAAAAATCAAATCATAATCCAAAAAGGGATAGGTAAGTTCAATTGTTTTTAGAAATGAGCAAAAAGCGTGAACTTTTCCCCTTTTAGATGAAAAAAATTGACATGTTGATCCACTTAAAATTAAATAAAAATGATGGTTATGTAATCAACTAGCGAATTATAATAAACCATCTAAATATTACCCAATCGATAATATTTTCTCTCTCTCTCTCTCTCTTTTTCTATCACTTTTTTTAATCAATAAGATGTACATATTCTAAATGCGTGTCAAATACATTTTTCAATTTCTTTAGTCCATGTGAGTGTTCTTTTCATACAGCCATAGTTTTAACTTTTAAATTACGTCTAAAGCTGCGTTGCAATTTTAGAAATTATGAAAAATTAAAAGAAAAAAAATCAATATGATGTAAATTGTTAAGATACGAAATACAATATTGCAATCCTAATTATGTACAAGTTAAATTAATCTGTTAATTCCTGTAGTTTTGTTAAACTTTTAATTAAGACTTTATATTTTAAAATCTTTTAATTAAGTTCTCCATAAGTCCTTTGGCATACAAGAGTCCCTTCTTCATTAATCGAAGTATAAGTAGTCCAGTTTTGATTAATTAATTGGATGATTTCTCCAGTACTTTAAATAGCCATCTAAAGTGGAGAAAATAGATAACTACCCTTCTGGTAAAGCATGCTTCTATTAAGTTCAGGTCTATTTTGAAAACGTAACTGTCTAAAATCCACAAAAAGCCTCACTTTTCTATGAGAGGGGTATTTTTATGAGGGAAAAATAAATTTAAACTATTAAATTTTATCATAAATAATAAAAATTTTAAAAAATAATGTTACATTAAAAAAACTTTCATGACTTGTTCCATAAAAAGCCTCACTTTTCCATGAGGGATATTTTAATGAGGGGAAAATAAATTTTAAATTTTAAATATCATCATAAATAATAAAAATTGAAACAAAAATAATGTTACATTCAAAAAAGTTTCATTGCTTTTAAAGTGATTATGTCCAATCCAATAGCGAGGGAGAAAAATTAAGCTCAAGCTCACTTATCTAATTTATTGTTAATCCACCGATACAAGATATTTATATCTTCAAAAACTTCAACTTCTTATATATAAGTATGTGCTTAAGATTTATTGCTTTTCAGCTCTCTTTCATAATCGACTTTCTTACTAAACATATCCCCTATGTAAGTGTACGGGGGAATTGTTTTTTTACTTGTCATCCTATAAACAACAAATAAGCAACAATGACGATTAGCTTTATTCATATTTAATCTTAACCGTGAAGAACTGGCAAAGCTTTTTTATGAGCTATTTGATGAGAGATAAAAATAAAGTATGTTGCTTAAAAAAATTTGCATAGCGTATAAATTGTTAAATGCCGAATAATAAATTTAAAAATCTCAAGTGCATTAATCAAACACCAAATATCAAGCATTTCTTTCGGCCGTTAAATATGAAGCATTTTGAGTACGTTGGTGTTCTACGCTGTGTCGGCCCATTGAGAGAGAAAGACCATTTTATTTTGCATGTTAACAAGCCATAAATAACCATACGGTAAACGGCTTTTGAATGGGCTTGCATACAACTACGTTGGGAGTAACCGAGCTACCCTTCACACCTTCATTCATTCCTGCCTTACCAGACACTAACGAAGAGACCTAGGACCTAATTAGTTCTACTACAAAAACATAATCATTACATTTCACTTATATATTTCTTCAAACATTTTTATCGAAAAACCATTTCTTAAGTGCTTTTTTTTTTCGTTTATTTCTTAAGTTTATATACATTTCCTAGCATTTGTCATTAAGTTATTGTTGTTATTTGACAAAACAGAAAATTCAAGGTTGGTGAAAGATACTAGTTAAAAGATATTGATTTTTAGCGTGGCATGGAGAGATTCTCCTTGAAGTACAAAGCTAGTGGTTTAATAATGGTTTCAATTTAGGACTTCAGTTTGGTAAACAGTAACAAAATAATAATAAATTTATACCAGAATATGCAAGATTCTTAATCATTCATTGCCAAATGATTCTCATGTGCACATTTCTCTTCCACAAAATAAATTTACAATCCATCCCCATCAAGATATTTTAAAGCGAACTTCAGATTTCAGAGATGAAATACGGGCAGTTAGAAACATCTAAGCAGCATAATTGCATCAAATATCCATTGTCTAACTGTGCTCCATCAATCTAAGCTCATAAGATAAAATCCAATAGCCAAAATTCATCGCTCTGTGGGGCAACAAATCCACAGCATTGAGTGTTATATACTATGAATAATTTAGACAGGGTAGAAACTGTAAAACCTTACCTGACCAATATTGGAAACAAGCTGTGATATCTACCATTAATTATGCTTATAAAGCCAAAATATGTTCAAGCAGCAAAGTATATTTGGTGTCTAAATTATGCTCCTCCAGCTGTATCCATATCTGTAACCCCATCAACTCCCTTGAAAACAACACGTAATTTTCTCAAACATGAGAACTTTTGGTCATTCTTGTTTGTTGTACCATTCACATGCACAACATCCTTGGACAGTTTACCCATGAGATTAAAAAGAGTTAGACTCAAATTTGATCTAGTCATTTCTTCCAAAACAGGGGGGGCTTGCATGTACAGATTCTTTCCTCGATGTGTAACACTAGCTTTTGATAATCGCAACTTAGGATGTTCTTCCAGAAGATCCATGAACTGTTAACCACAATTTGAATAAAAATGAATGCATCAGAAGGGAGTTTGTTAAAGATGCATCAATATTTGATTTGCTTAAAAATAGCAACAGGAAAACAGTTCACATGTTGACAGATACATACATATATAACGTAAGTACACTTACTCTCTTTATGGTACTAATTCTGCTATTTGGAGTTGAGATGCAAAACATTTCATATGTGGCATAGATTATTTCACCTTTCATAATAAATATATATGCATATTTCATGACATTAACACAGATGGTCCTGCCAGCAAAAGGAAGGACCCTTTGCACAAAAAGATCCAAATAGGAGCAATTTCCAAATATTAATGCTTCTTACTACCCATTCAACATTCTAACATTTCTTTCTACTGCCATCAAAAAGAAAAAAGGGAAAAGGAAATGTGGGGCCAGGATGTGAAAAAAAAAATTTGCAATGAAATCTTCCAGCTTTGACACAAATTTTACATCTCCCCAAAATATTATTTTTAGTTTTCCCAAAGTGCACAAAATTAATGATAAGTTTAAACACATTTTAAAATGCAATGCAATAAAATAGCTGTAGGCTACAATAGCAGATGAAGACTAGTGAAAGATGAAAAGAGTTGTATGTAATGGGCATTTGTGGTCGCTTTCAAGGTCAGTATGGCTTTGAATTAAATTATAAATAGCTAGCAAAAATCAATTCAAAACAATTTTAAAATAGAATTTCAATATTCTTTAATCTTTATCAAGGAATGTTTGGACCCTCTAAAGACAGATGGAACGGAAATTTGCTGTATTCCAAATTAGTAATCGATGTATATAAAGCACTTAATGAGTTACTTATTGAAAGATAACCTTTTGCAATGTGGTTGAAGTGTCCAGTTCAATACGTATGCCAGGACCACACACAAGACAGTCTCTGTCCCTTTCAAACTCTGCTACTTTAGTATGGAGGCCTTCTGATCCATTATACCTACAGAATTATGAACCAGTTAATAATATTTATAGCCAAATAGCAAATAATAAAAGAGGATAAAGAACACACGTTAAATAGTTTGACAATGTTTTGCTGCACTCTGTTGCAATCTTCAATGTTTCAAGTGCACATGCGGCTGATATAATTGCATTTGTTGAAGCTATAGCCGGTATGATGTTCTTCACAACGCCCTATTAAAAGAACTAATGCTTATCAGAAAAGGAAAATACATTGGACAATCACAAGGAAAAACAATAATAAAAAGATAGATACCAAACAATTCGTATGAATACATTTAGAGAAAATCTAACTACACAACTATGCATGACAAACCAAAATTCAGAATTTTGTTGGGGATAACTGGCATACCAAACCATCTATTTACCTGGGTAAGAGAATAAGTGACTCCAGGAATACCAAAAAGCTCGGCCCTCTTGACAGCCTGTAAAACATAATGGATTAAACTTGTAACTGATTGATGGACAAAAAATGTACATTAAACTGTCAACAAACTCAAAATGAAATAGTGGTTACCTCGTTATAAACCCATTTCATATGCTCAGGGTTATCTGGATCAAAACCCACTCCACCATGAACCTATACATCAAATTTCAGTTGAAATAATGCATATTATAAGATAACAGAAAGGATAAATGATGATTTACCTCATTCCACTTAATTAAGTGAGCATATTCAATACAGTGGGCAGCAGTTCTAGGGGTTTCTGCCAGGGTGCACAAAGGAAACTTCACTTGAGGTGGAAAAAGCCAGATGGTACACTCAAAGCACGGTGTGATCCCTGGCAAGATAACCCTAGCATGGCCCTTGAAACCTTCAGTCCCACCATCAACCATAGGTTTAATTGTCTCTTCTCGTGGATTATCATCAGAATCATACTCTAGATTTATCAGCAAAAAGAAACTAAATTTAGCATAAGCAACCTACAGCAAACCTTAGGGGAGTATAAACGTGAAATTTTGAAAATTTTACATACTCCAGGTCAGATAGAAGTAAGACATCCATGAAGTAGACTTACAAAGAATGAAAAATTTTAGGTGAAAAAGCGAGGGCATAGAAGACGAGATACACTAATATATATTACTTCATACAGTGAAAAAGCAAATAGAGCACAATAACAGCTCTAGTAGTGCAAGCAAAGGGGACACAAATTGGCAGGTAACAACAACTGAGTCTATGTAAAAGGGATACAACACACACACCTAGAAAACTACAAGCGACCGTATTGATATAGCTCCGTGCCTCAATGGAATCAAGACCAAGGGCAATAATGCTAAACTCATTATAAAAATCAATATCCTTGTCCTCAATCCTGCAAAAATGCGGCACAATATGCACGCCACTAATTCTTTCCATGACACGCTTGGCAGCTACCTCAGCTTTCGGCTTGCCAACATCTTCAAGCCTAATTAACAAAAAAAATAAAGTAAAAATCGAATACCCATCTTCCCTCTTGAACCGAAAAAACAAATGGAGTTACATAAATATCGAAAAAGGGAAGAACTTTACCTGAACAAGAATTGGCGGTTGAGGTTAGTAACCTCGATGCGATCCATATCAATGACCTCAAGGTTTCGAAAACCAGACAAGGCTAAATCCTTCAACAATTCACAACCCAAGCCACCTGCCCCTACCACCAACACTTTCGCGAAGGCCGAAAGATCATCTCTCAGCTGCAAAGAACGCAAACAAGATAAGCAAATAAATAATGATGAAGATGGTGATAATAAACAGTGTGTGTGTGTGTGTGTGTGTGTGAGAGAGAGAGAGAGAGAGAGATTTACCTCGGCGCCAGGTTCGAACCTGGGACCTACGAGATTGCCAGGTCTGAGAAGGAGCTTGTCGAGGTCCCTGGATCGACTTGAGGCATCTGCCATTGGAGGAAAACCAAAGATGCTTCCTTCCCTTCTGCGCTCTTTTCACGATTTCTCTCTATCAACTATCTGTTGCATAGCCTTGTTTTTTTTAAGCTTTAATTTTAAGCTATGCTGGTTTCGATGTGGAATCAACTGGATGGAATATGTATTTCACGGATAATCTTTAACTTAAGTAAAAATAATTATATTTAATCAGTAGATAAAAATAATATAAATGTTAGATGTAGGAAAAAGGAGTAATTTTTTTAAAAGTTAAAAAATTACTTTAAAATTATAAATAATTAAAATTCGAGACAAATGATATTTTTGGAATTACCTAATTCATACAAAATTTGAAAAAAAAAATTATTCAATAATTTTAGAAATGTATTTATGCAATATGTAATGATTGTTGTTATAATTTGAAAATTATTTTAGTTGATATGAGAAATTTGAAAGTGTATTTTTCTGGTTGCTTGTAGAATATACAAGGATTACATTCTCGCAAAAGTGAAAAATATACTAAAATGTGACAAGAGAAAAAATATATTTTACCTAAAAATACTTACATGGTGTAACTTTTTAATAAAGTGGGGATGTTAAATATAACCTTATTTTTTAGAGTGTAGATTCAGAAAAGGAGAGAGAGAGAGAGAGTTGGGCACTTGGCAAATTGCACACTTTGAACAAATAGATTTCACAACTTACATCTTAAAATGTTTGAAACTATTTTACTTTATTTTACTGGGATGAGTATTTGATTCTGAGCTCTGGTCTTGATAATCAGTCAGCTACGAAGCTGAGAGCATAACATGGAAAACAACTTAAGTTACAAAAAGGCAGGATCAGGGGGAATAGGCACGTTCACAGATCCTTCAAGCATTTGTAACACTTTCTTGATGGTTGATCTGAGAGCAGTCATCACATACCTTTCCACCACCTTCATTTCATCCAATGCTTCTATATCATCTTCCACCAGCTGCCTCACATTACCATCCTTGAAGGAGTCATATGCCCAATATGCCAGTATCATCAGCTCATCATTCTCAGCATCTGCAACGTAGAAGTTCTTCTTACAACAGCTGAGCTCTAGTAACAAAATTCCTTGGCTGTAAACGTCAACCTTCACACTAACAGGAATACTCCTGAACCATTCAGGGGCAACATACCCTTTAGTTCCCCTCACTGCAGTGGTAGTTCGAGTATGGTCGAGCTTCAAAAGCTTGGCCAAACCAAATTCAAATATTTTTGCGGTGTAATCATGGTCAAGTAAGATGTTTTGTGGCTTGATGTCACAATGTATGATCTGGGTGCGACACTCATCGTGGAGGTAAGTGAGTCCCCGTCCTATTGCCAATGCAATTTCCTTTTTGGATACCATCTTGGTCTTTGTGATCCAAAAAGAAAGCTTGCTAACGTCCCATCGCTCATGAATTCATTCACTAATAGCCTGTTCTCCCCTTCATCACAGTATCCTATGAGTTGGTCTAGATTTCTATGATTTGTTTGACCAATTGCACTCACTTCTGCTTTGAATTCTTCATCTCTTCCACTCCACATAGTATCTAGCTTCTTAACAGCAATGAGTTTCTCATCAAATCCTGAGATTACTCCCTTGTAAACTGTTGCAAATGCACCATGACCAAGTACTTCATTGAACCCATTCGTTGCTTTGATTAATTCTTCCCAAGTGTAACTTGTGAGATTCATGCCAGTTCTGAATTGGGAAGGTTTCGCCACCTTAGGATTCCGGTTCCAAATCAGGATGCAGCTAAACAAGCTACAACTAAAAAAAGCAGGTTCAGTAGCCCTGAACTGCTTAAAAGCACAGATCCAATGATAATCAGCTTTGAGTTTGATCGATCGCATTCACTCCTCTTACTGAGAACATAAGGTTTCAGAGTAGAATTATCTGGTCTCATTTTTATTAGAGTTTTCCCTCCAACAGTAGAATCAAGTATTCCATTGGAAAGAGGTTGCTTCAGCTTCCAGCAAGCCTGTCTTCACCAATCCACATTAACTGATTGATAATATTCATAGTCAGAGTGAGGCCATTCTGTATTCTGCATTTCATACATATCAAAAAGATGCGCTTCTGAGAAAGCTTCATCACAACTTTGTGAAGCAAAGTCCTGTCTGCACCCTTTCATCACATCATTTGGATCATGAAGCTGTAACCTTGAGGACAGTGGCATGCCTTTGTCTCATCATACGTGCAGTAGCTATTGAACCCACAATCCCCACTTCCTTGATCTCCACCGATTCTCAAACAGATATTTGTAGGTGAAAATGATGAAACTGTCCAGTGCTTGGACCATCCTTCTTTACTGGAATTGCTTCTCTTGGGGTAAACATAGTGCCTGAAAACTCCATCATACTCAAGAATTTCTCTCTGGTAAAATAAAAATCTTTGGTGGGAATGTTACTTGAAGATATCATATTAATTATGCTTCCATTACTGAACTGAAGGAAAATATATCCAGATTGATTGAAAACCCACGAAAAGTTGCTGCCAAAAACCTGAGTACTCCAATAAGCAAAATTATTTAAATCTAATGGGAAATGTTGTGTGTAGAGCACAAGATTCCCATCTTTTTGAAGAGTAAATTGGAATCTCCCTCTGGTGAAGTTATTCTCTAGATAGCACGAAACAAGCCATGGAGAGTCTAATTCTTCAGACAGAACCTATCCTGGTAAGATTGTATCAGTTGGATGATCAAAACTCTGTCATGTAATGACAGAATCTTGGTCTACCAGCACGAGGTTGCCAGTGTCAAGCAGAGCTGCATGAGCAACTTCATTGTTAGGATTCCATATCTGCTTGTCACTGGGATCTTTGAGCCAGAACTGGCCATCAGAGGTAAGTTCCATTTTAGATCCTTTTCCTGCTAAGTTTTGTCCATTGGCAAACCAGACAACGGTTTTTTCTGGTATTTTGTGGTACCAGATGGCTAGTAGGAACCCATCTTCCTCAATCTGCTGAAAACCAAATGCAAAATCACCCGATGGTGGTGTCCAGAAGGAGTTGTTTAGCAACGGTGTGAGGGAGAAGCCCAGTGACATGTTCTTGTATGTTTGAGCAGTAGTGGTAATTGGAAGCAGGGTAAAGAAGAAACGAAGACCTCAGGCTCAGAAGTTGCTGTTCAAAGGCCATTTTTGTAGAAAAAGAACTTTGTTTATAGAGGCTAATGAAGCTTATGGTTTTATTTAATGAACATTGCTTTTTCTTTCCTTTGCCAACAATTCGCAGCCTTCATCTTTAAAATGAATTTAGATGAGATGAGATGGCTTGAATTTTGATGAATCAAGCCACCAATGAATATATATAGGTGTGAGTATAGAGGAGCTATAAGCCATTGGAATGTTATGAAATGCTGAGTTTAATATTTTAAACGTATCGTAAACTACACGAAATGAAGACTGTCAAGTCTTGAGGTGAGATTACTCGTTTAAAATTAAATTATGTGGATCAAATCTCAATTACACAGATGCCGCGTCTCTGACTTGTTCAATGTTGACTTGCAAGACCCATAAACTTCATAGACCCGAAAAAAATTGAGAAGGAAACTGTAACTGTTGGTATTCTCACTTAGATTTAGTGTAATTTACGCATAGACGACTTGGAAGGAAAACATCAGCACCAGCAGCATTTCTTTTACAAATCTTTCATTTTGTATCAAAATTGTGTTCATAGCACCTTACAAAAAAATTGATAATTACACTTGTTCCTCCCTCATCTAATCCTAAAAGTGAGAGTCTTCATGCTTCCAGCAGCTTTAAATTTCAAAATTGATGTTCATATCCCCAAAACGTTGAGCTTCTTTTCAACGCACATAATTCACCCTGGTGATTTGCAGCAATAAAATCTGATACCTTAGTCCTTCACAGCAGTTGTTCTCTGCAACACTTTTCTTGGAAAGAATTGTTATGTTCCTGTTCAAAGGCGCATAAGGCTTCATGAATCCATGCATCACAACGAAAATAATTACGCAGTGAATCATGCTCGTGAATGTTGCAAGTTACTGTGAGCAGCTTCACGTTTAAGCAACAGTGCATAAAGCAGCTCATTCCATGTATCAGGTACACCAGGAAGACACCAATGGCTACAGTCTTGGCGATGATGAGGCGCTTGATCCACAATTGGACCAAGATAATAGATAGATGAATGCCCATCTTTTCTCTGAGCACTCATCTGGGTTATATTCAATACCATGAACTTCATAGCTTCAGAAATATTTGTGTGTGCTGATAAGACAGCATTGGCTATTTTGAATTGTGACCAGTTGTCATTAGGCACCAATGAAGAACTAAGCTCTGGCAGTGTTTCCAAATGACAGTTCCCACCATTTCTCCAATCCGCACCTCTGTGAAACATATCAGAACAACTTAGTTTCTAAAGTATGTAGTAGTATATATCATTCGGAAAACCATATGCAAATATATCATTCATGAAATCTCCATTTTCTACCAAAGGCTTACAAAACCCATGCACCCACCAATCATTAATTTAGGTTCAACAGAATTAGATCATTTCAAATATTTGATATTCAGATTATAAAGTGCAGTGGTGCACCATTTATTCTGAGGGGGGGGTAAAAAGTTATAATTGAAGTTGGAAGGAACTCATCATTTGAATTGTCAAACAAACCTGAAGTGCACTGGGGCTAAAGTACGAAAGAAAACCTGCGTTTTGCTTGGATTTACGGTATCTTGTATCCAGTTCAACACTGTCTGAATCGACCGTTTGTATGCATCTTCTACCTGCATTTCCAACTTAACTTCCAAACCTTCTTGGAAATAACAACCCCCTCTTATTGTTTTCTCATAATTCCACCAGTGCCCTGTGTTAAGGACCAGGATGTCTGCATCCCTCCACTTCAAAGAGTTCCAATCCATTTTATCCACTTTCAGAGTTGTCTTGATCTTTTTAGGAGCTCCAGTAGGAGGCCGGCTCTGCAATACGAGAAATGGAGCTCTATAGTATTCCACTGTACAGTTAAAATCACTGAATTTGAACACCAAGAACCCCTTGTGTTTTGTAATTGGGCTCCCATTCACTTCATAGATTGATTCCTTGTTAGAAACACCAGAAGAGAGCATGCATAAGAGTGACTCCCATTGGTTTCTCCCAATTGAGTCCCCCACAAACACCATGCGTTTGTTTCGCAATTTTTCTAACATCATTGTAGCATTGAATCTGTTTTTATTATTGACAAACCAAAGGTACAGTGTAAGCTTTCTTCATTCACTTTTGTATTTAATCAGAGAAAACTATATTACAAATTAAATCAAAATAAATTGAATAAATGAATATATAGCCATCGATCTCATCCATATGAATACCATGATTCATTAGTACCACAGACAAAGTTGTCTCAAACACTGCAGCGTAGTAAAAGAGAAGCGGTCTCAATTAATGAAGGAAACGATGATTGTTGTCTACTCCAAACGAAGGAAAAGACAAACATTGAAAATAAGATGGGGTCGGAAAGGAAAACAAAAAAATATTTACTGGTAAGATAGGAATGGTACTTAAATTATATTCATCTACCGTTAATTTAAGTACGAAGAAATTGAACATTTCATCCTTCTTATCAATACAGACATTCAAGTAGGACCAAAAGTTTGTGCGTGGAAATTGCATGCAAAAACATAGTCATTTTCACAGAGCTGCATGGTCCAATGGCTGAAAGTTACAGAGGAGGGAAAATGAGACAATGGATAGCCAATTGCAACCCAACCGTTGGGTCGCTGTCATTCTGTCAAGATCCCATATAAGGTGGCTAAAGACATTCAAAATCACACACCACGAGTCTTTTTTTTATGGTTTTTTTTTTTTTCCGATCATTCCAATTTTGAATTTTCCAAATACTAAAAGCTAAGCATGCTAGCATGAACATTGTTTGCCGGCGGCAGCTGATAACTTAGTTCCTTAGAAAATAAAGATTCAGCTGAAATAATTAGACTGGCATTTGAATTTATCCTCATCCTTATTTTCTCAGAAGCCAAAAAAATACTGAAGAAAGACATGAAAAACATAATCAGCTTGTAAAAAAAAAGTTAAAATAAAACCAGCAGAGAACAAAACATGTACCTGGGTAAATTGCAACCTTTGGGTTGCCACCTCCACTTGGTGTAAAACAAATCACGTCGTCCATTTTCAGAACACCGAAATCCTTCATCCAGAAAGCTGCAATCTTTTGATTGATACAAGGGATAACTCTCATCCCAGACCCAATTCCCATCAAACAAATCACACTCACCACCCTTTTCTCCCAGAAACTCAACCCTGCATTGTTCAGTAGACCCTTCTATCCGCAACCAAGCAAACCTCTGTGGTTGATCCAGTAACCCAAATCTTTCAGCAAAATATCGGTTACCCGAATAGAAGAAGCAGCAAATCACGAAGGCAGTAACAACAACAAACCCGACAACCCCGAGAGACGGCTCAAACAACCTAAAGCGCTTAACCCTTCTAAGAGCTTCAAAAACTGCCATAGCTTCAGCTTCAGTCTGTGATGAGCTCTTAGGAGAAGACATTTAAGTGACAAAAGAAAAAAAAAAAATTGGATTCTGGGTAGCACTTTAAAGGTCGCAAAAGTGGACACTTATAACGAGAGAAAGCAGAGAAGGGTGGGAAGCAAGCAACATGGCATTCATTCACTAAACAGAAGAAGCATGTTTTGTTAACTTTGCTTGGTAGGTCAGTTTAGTAAATGCCATCAATGAAAAAAGAAAGAGATGGGTGTAGGGGAAGCAAAGAAGCATTCATTCATTCATTCATCGGTTTTCGATTATATTCTTGGTGAAGTATCCATTGATTAACACAACACAAACAGGGTCTGCTGTTAGTAGCAACCAGAACGTTGCTTCCAAAATCTCAAGAATGCGTCACAATTTAAATGGGAAGGAAAATGGGGAGCAACGGTATAAGGACACGGTCCCACGTTCTTTTCAACATTGAGGAAAGTGTACAAAATTTTGGCTTCTTATTGCGCCTTGTACACACGCGCGGAAAATGTATAACGTGGTTTCATTTTTTATTATTATTATTTTATTTTATTTTCAAGACAACGGTTATTTCATTTTAACGTCCCACAAATAGTAAAAAATAAATAAAAAAATTCATGTTTGGTAAAGGAAAATAAAATTATTTTTTGGACATAAGAAAAACTTACGAATATTCATTATAAATATGTGAAAATAAAATGTTCTCTTCTATAGTATAAATAAAAGTTTTTCATGATAATTGGCTATTATTTTTTTCATAAAAATAATAATAAACATGCAATTTTTAAGTAAGTTAAGTAACAACTAAACATTCTTTATAAAATTTCAAAGAATTTTGTTCATTTGAATTTTATTCTCAGAAGTTGAAAATGAAATACATTCTGTTTCAAACATTATCTTAAAAAAGATGTTAATATTATATTTTTATCATTAGATCAATTTTTTCCGATTCTTAAGTTATCAGTGAATTTTGTTGGATATAAAGTATATTATTTTATAAATTTTTAAAAAATGTGTACGAGAAAAATATAACAAATTTTACTATCGTTGTTATTTATCTATTAAAATAAATAAAATATTATACAATAAAATTTTTAATTTATTAAAATTATAAAAAATGATAAACAGTGTCCAAACTAATTAAGAAATAAAAAAGAAAAATTGTTCATTAAAAAGTGCAAATATGTACATACTTCATAATATATTTCTAATATGAAGTTTAATATAAAAAAATATGACTTATTGTTTCTTTGATTAATTAGAATACTCCAAACAATTTTGAAAACATTCAATGTATCCTTAATTTTTCTCATTTATTAGTTTGATATTCCACACACTATTGTTTCTCTTGACTTTTCGCAAGAATGTCCTTCCACGCATTATTGTTTCTCTTTCGTTTATCAATATATTTAAATTTTGGAATTATTTTTTAAAAACTATCATCTTTTTAAACTACACCATTCTGTTTTTCCGAAAAAAAAATTCAAAATGTATAGATTTATTTTGAAAACTAATTTCCAAAAAAAGAAAACGAACTGAATCGCACTATCAGCCCAATGCTAAATCATGGTAAGTCCGGGCTTGAGTTAATTTTTCTGGCCCAACTAATTGGCGATCAATAATTAAAAAAAAAAGACACCTTCCCACTTCTTACCATTTTCTGAAGCGCAAGCATAACCATGGAATGCGAGCTAGCTGACTTGTAAAACGGTGGATTCGAAGTGTTGACTCTGCTGAGGCATTGGCAAGGACAGTTGGAGAAGGTATTGTGAAGTTTTTGCGTTTCTATGTGTCTCGTTTAATCTTTATTTGCGTCAATTTCAAATTCCTGTATCTCACTCAATTCATTAAACTTTCCAAGGGGTTCGTTTTAAAATAGCATCGCTCATGTGTTTCTGAATTATCACAAGTAAGAATTTTAAAACTAGCTGAAGATATTAGTAGCATCTACATGCTTAGTTGCTTACTATTACTCGATTAGTTTGTGTTACTAAGAAGAAATTATCTTTGCAATTTAGTGTTTATGAGACGAGCCTTTTTAAATTCATCTCTTGTTATGATTACTATCAATTCTTCCGCCTACTCGGGTTGTGAACAGGAACATGGCATGAATTCCCGGATAGCCATATTGGATTCTGCAAAAACTTGTATATTGTATTTTTCTCCTGTTTTCCGGAGACAACAATTATTGATAAGATCTCTGAGAGGTTCCATTGATCATCATCAACCCCATTATAGAGACATGCAAGCCATAAGGTCAATTGAGGTTGACTCTGAAAGCATTATTCGAGCAATTACTCCTGTTCTTGATCCTACCAGACATAAAGGCCAGGCAGGTATAATATTATTCTTATTCTCTATCACATTATACATATACGCTTTTGTTGTGGTGACTTATGCTAATCTAAGATAGATAATTAGGAAAAATATATTATATTTTGTCACTTATGAGTTATGACCAGAGGAGGAGGACTGACCCTGTATTATTATTTTTATTTTGTGGCTGAAGAAAAAGAAAAAATGCTTAACATTTCCTTCACTTATGTTTCAAATCAGGAAATATAGCTGTTATTGGAGGGTGTCGTGAATACACAGGTGCTCCATATTTTGCTGCAATTTCAGCCTTAAAAATTGTTAGTCTTTTCCCCTTCATACTGAATTGTCCACCTGAAACCAAACAAAAAATTATAATCCTATCTCTGTCAATTCAAATTATCCTCCTATGTTTCCTCCCATGCAGGGTGCGGATCTGTCCCATGTTTTTTGTACAAAAGATGCTGCTCCTGTCATCAAAAGTTACAGTCCTGAGTTGATTGTGCACCCTGTTTTGGAAGAATCTTATAATGTCAGGTACAACTTACTGTCTTCTAGTTAATCTTTATCTTTCTGTATGAATATTTCCAAACCACATGCAAGTTGTTTTTATTGAGAGACTAATTTCAGGGAGGAATACAAGAGATCCATATCAAACGATGTTCTTGCTGAAGTTGACAAATGGATGGAAAGATTTGACTGTCTTGTTGTTGGTCCAGGCCTGGGAAGAGATCCATTTCTTCTAGTATGCTCTCTCTTGAACACTTCACTGGGTACCATTTTTATTACACACATTGATATATCTTGCTTATCTTTGACATATTGTGTTTATCTTATATTTTTTAAGTTTTATCTTATGTCCTTAACTTTTCTTTCTAATTTTTAGTGAGGCATGTGCATTTAGTCTTTTAGATATATTTCTTCTGATCAAGATGTGACCTTAGGTTGGGTGATTGGCTATATACACTTTACGATGTTTCTTTGTATGTGCAACATATAAACATGTAGAATGGTAATCACATCAATTATTTTCTCAGTAAGCATGTTTCTCATCCGTTCATGTAATGCTAGTTTCAACCATGGATTATTCTATATTTAAAAAAACTATGGCACAGTGATGACTAGAAGGCTGACAAACAACTATCCATCATAAGAAAACAAACTATTGGAAAAGAATACCGAAGAACATATTTTAGTATTTAGTCTTGTGAAAGTTCACTTGGCTTAAAATATGATAAACCACAAGCTCATAGTTCTTGAAACTTAATACTAATTTGTATTAAATTCTGATAGTAAAATTTTTCTCCTTAAATTGTTGTGGTATAGGCAATAATTTTTTCTCATTTCAGTTCTATGATGTTGATTTATATGCTTTCCTGACTCTCCTGTTAATATCTATCATCTTTAATTCAAACATTTGCACAATGTTCTCAGGACTGCGTGAGCGAAATCATAAGACATGCAAGACAATCAAACATTCCAATAGTTATAGATGGGGTAGGTAGACTTTAGACATCTGATGCAAGTTCTGATTAGCATGTGCATATTCTTTCATTTTTACTAGCTTTATGTTTGACCATTCTGATCAAATTTTGGGTGTTGTTCAGGATGGGCTTTTTCTTGTTACAAATAATCTTAACCTTGTTAGTGACTATGCCTTAGCTGTTCTAACACCAAATGTCAATGAATATAAGCGTCTTGTTCAGAAAGTACTGAGTTCTGAAGTTAATGAGGTAGATGCTCCTCAACAACTGCTATCTCTTGCCAAACAGTGAGCGCCTCATTTCAAATTACCAGTTTTTGTCAATGCTTTCGGGCAATTGATCTTCATGTAATTTGCTATTCATGAAATGTGTATCTAGACAGTCAGTTTGAGCATGCCACTTCTATACATCCACAAATGCATTCATACTAACAGAGATCTAAACAATTCTGTTATTTGTCTCCATTCTGCCTTCTGAAATTTATTTGCTCGAGCAGAGTGTGATTTGTAAAATCAGATTATAATCTTTTTTACGTTTTGATAAAGGAAAATTCGCATCTTTTAGCAATTAAAGGAATTAGATAATAACATAATGCTAAGTAGTTTGTTCTAATTGTAGATGCATGGTTATTTCTCATTATTATCTGTGATTCAATACACCATTTATTGACAACTGTGGAATGTTCATGAGCAGGATTGGTGGTGTTACTATCCTAAGGAAAGGAAACAATGATCTCATCAGTGATGGTGACACAGGTAGGTCTTTCGTAAATTTAAGTCCTTTTTTTTTTGTTGGGGGGGGGGGGGGGGGCGCATCAATATTATTGTGCAATTGCAACAAGAACTTTCTCATTCTAAATTTGCCTATTCTGGTTCATGTGGTGGGTGTCTCCAATGGCTGAATTGAATAGGGCCTTTAGGTTTTGGAACAGACAGATATGTTCTACCAAGCATGAGTTATCCTCTAGTAGTACAATGAACTTGTGTATGTTCATTGTGTCAGCATATGGAATATTATAATAGAGATTTGCAAAATGTTAGGAATTTGTTTGATTGTGGTCATATTGTCATTTATGCAGTCAAATCAGTGAGTGTTTATGGTTCTTCTAGACGTTGTGGTGGCCAAGGTGATATCCTTTCTGGAAGGTAAGTCTTTATTTCTTTCTTTTTTTGTTCATGTGTTTGAAATTCCATGCTGCTGTATTTTATGCTATATGTTTAGATGGTTCCTCTCTTTGTGAAATGGAATTTTCTTTATTTTCAATCGTTGATTTATCTATTCAAAATTGACAATGTCTTTCAGGTTGAATATTGATTTTCTCTTTAAATGCAAAAAATTGATCCTCATCTTTTGACTGCTGTTAATGCATACTTCAGTTTTCAACTACTCCTAGCTATGAGCAATATTGATATTGGAGTAAAGCAACTCAATTACTAATATACAGAAAATAGGAAGTACATTAAGAATTTATACCATTGGCTATGTTTGAATTGATGGAAATGAAATAGAATGACATTATTATCTTTGTTTGAATTTTTTAAACCAAGATAGAACAAAATGAAACATGATGGAATCCATTCCATCCCATACCCCCCCCCCCCAAAAAAAAAATAAAAATTAATTAATTAATTAATTAAATAAAATGGTGACTGAGGAATCAGCTTACATTTTACTTAATATAATTCAATTATGCCGTTTTCATTCACAGCAGTGAGTTCAACGTTTAATGTGATTGGGATAAAGGTAATATGGGAACAAAAATTTGTATTTCTTATGATTCCATTATTTTCTATTGTACTTTCCAAATTCCAAACAAGAGTAAAAACTTTACACAATTCCATCAATGGATATTCAACAGTGGGGTGTGACCTCATTCTATTTCATCCTGTTCCACTCCATTGACCATTAATTTGTGCAACTGGAATCCGAAATGTTTTTAAGTACACTTCTATTAATTGGTGCAGTGTTGCTGTCTTCTTGTCATGGGCACGTCAACATATTTTGGCCAAAGATTCAAATTTGAATCTCAGGTTCTATGTCATAATTTTCCAGATTCAACAAGAAATGTCTACATGTTTGTATACATCTATGGAGGCCCATCTTTGAATACCGAATGTTTACTTATATCCTTAATTATATTTTTGTTTCAGTTGTAAAAATCCAACAGTTTTGGGATGCATTGCTGGATCTGCTATATTGAGAAAGGCTGCCTCACTTGCTTTCTCAGAAAAGAAAAGATCTACAGTCACTGGTGACATTATTGAATGCTTGGGGAAAAGGTAGCATATTCTAGAAAGAAATTATTTGTATAATTGTGACCAATTTATTTGTAAACTTTTGCATTCTTTCTTGCAGTTTGGAAGACATATGTCCTGCCAGTTGATTCCATTTGTGGCCAACAGATACTTACCACTTGTAACCAAATTGACATATCCTGCTAGAATCTTTTCTTTATCTTTTCCTTTTTGATGAGTTTTCCCCTTGTCTTTATTTCTCACTCTTTGCCTTGAATATTTAAAATTTGTCTGTTTGTTGTGCCATGATAAAGATTCTAAGTAATGAAGTGTGTAGAAGAGTTTATCCCAATATAACTTATTAAAGTTTTTCGTTAAAGGTGCATCTGCATTTAAAGAAAATAGTCAATTTTGAAGTTAAAGCTTGAACATATATTATGGGACTGAGTCCATGAACTTGTGGATTTTTATTCCTTTTTCTTTTTGGTCTGATGGATTTTTATTCCTTTGAAACAGCTTATCCACAGTTATCTTTTTAACTTTTAGACGTGCACCGAGGCCTTTTTTTGGGTTGCAATATATAAGGCTAGTGCATAAAATTTCCTTTAAATCTTTAAGGAAGTATAAAACTACAAGGCGACTCTCATTCGTGCCGAAGTGCTGTTTTGGCAAGTTATTTCTGGGATGCTTTACCCTTGATACAGGGATACACGGTAATTATTGGGCTTAATTGTAATTTTAGGTTTTGTAATTTAACTTGTGTGGTAATTTTATTCCTTTTAATTTTAATTACTCATATTTATCCAATAATTAATAGAAATTTAACAAAGGTATAATAATATCGTTGAGTTATACAATATGCAAAGAAAAAAACGTATTAAATAAACAAAAAGAAAAATTAAAGTTTTTGCAAGGGTGGTACGAGAGATGCCTGATTGCACACGTTTGCTGCCATATATGAATTTAGAACACTAATTTTAAGTTTAAATTAATTTCATTTTTTTTTAATTCAACTTATCTGAGTATTTTTTATCAATTTGAAACGATTAGTTTATCTATATGTAAAATGCAAATTTGAGTTTAAACTTTTATTTTATAATCCAAGTAAAAAATATATTTTTTAAAACTTGTTCCAATGGGACGAAAACTCGGCTAGCCCATTTCATTTTAGCAATTCAACTTGTAGGAATTTTTATGTATGACAGAATTTCCTTTTCCTAGCATACAAGATGGTGAAATTGGTATCAGATTAGTATAGGATTGAATGAATCGGAAATAGGTTGGTCAAATGATTTGGAAAGATTAATATAGAATGCTGTTAAGCCAAAACCAGACTTTATTAGGAAGACAAGGGTAACTGTACATTGATAGAAACAGTAAATTCTCTATCTAATGAACAAAGTTACACACACACCCCATCACTTTGCCCAATTCCAGTCATCACCCAGCAAACCATTTAATTACATTTGCCCTCATCCATGCCTTGCACTCCCCAAATGCCCCACTTATCATCACATCGCATCCCACCAGCATCAAGGTCTACTGTCTGGCTGCTACAACTGCTGACCCTTCCACCTGATACATTTTCCCACCAATTTCACAATTAGTACAAAAGAATTTGATTGAGACCAAAATACACTATATTACGCATGCTGTTTAATTTTTATTTCATTTTGTTACCTTGAAGGTTGCACCCCATATTTCCTCCTCATTAGCAGGTACTGCAGTAATCTTACTTTTAGGATTCTCGTAGCACATCAATCCTCCAACAGCTGTTGAGTAGAAACATCCTGTCCAATCAGGGAGCAACAATGTCAACAAAGCCATTGTAAAAAATCTAATTCTATCCTGCATAACCTGCAGTGCATAATATATAGTCCATTTTCCGCCTCATCTATTTGTAACTTTTTCATACTATCATAATCTTGGAATGTTAAATCAATGATCCAGTCCGAATCACTTGAACAAAGTATTGGAAATTGTAATATAAGGACATGGTAGAAGTTAATTAACTCACCCTGAGGGAAAGAAGCAAGTGACTTGCCACAAGCACCTTTGAGCAATTCGGCATCATCAGCAAATGCTACATATCCATCAGCTGTTATTCCCCAATATAGAGGTACCTTACCAAATTGGTCCTGTCAAAAAATAACATGAGCAAAATGACCACAAAACGAAAGCTCGTGAGCATTGGTAGGTGGGATTATGATAACTTACAGAGGCTAAAAAGAGGGTAGAAGTGGATTTGTCAAAAACAATGAAAGCAAAGCTCCCACTGAGATGGCCGACAACATGATTGGGAGGGTAGGGTGCTCTGTCACGTAAAGCTTTGTAAGCCTCAATCACCAAAAGTACTTCATTGGCTGATTTGGCCAATCCATATTGTTGTCTCAAACTCCCCAAATTGTCAAGAGCTCCCTCAAATAAGCAGAATATCTCATCCTTCACAGCAAATGATCTGCCATTTTCCAATTCAATAAGTTGCATAACAACCATTTACATCATTCTCTTCACCAAAATGAAAAGCCAGATAGAGGGATTTTTTTCCTCCAAGTATCCTCTCATAAAGTAAATAAGAAATCGCTCTCAAATATCAAAGCGATAACACTATCCAACAATTTTTTTTTTAACACCAATCTCAAAATTAAACTTGAACCACATGTTTAAGAGATCTAAATTTTTTCACTAAGTACTCCCGCGAGTAAAAGTGAAGAATCTAAGCCCCGAATCCACTGCCAAGTGCCACCCATTCAATGCGTGTTCAATAATGGTTTAAATATTTTTCAATATTATTATAAAATAAAATTGTGTCTCTAAAAATAAGTTAATGTAAATAAACACTTGGTTCAGTCTTGAGTGATTTTTATAATTACAAATAAAGTATACGGATTTAATGTAAAAACTAAAAATGGTTAATCCCTAAAAATATAATTTTTTTATAGAAAAAATATTTTTTTAGAAAATTTTTTTTATTCTGATCTAAGTAAAACTTTGTTTACTTAAAATTTTTTAAAATTGTAATAATTATGTGATTTTAGTGTTGGATGAGGAATTGAAATCATATTATTTTTGTTAGATGTGAGAATTAAAAATAAACAAGATCTTTATAAAAACTAAACTTAACGCCCATGATATCTTGAAGATCAAAAGCTTTACAAAAATAGTATCTTATTGTTATATTTTTTATTTAAAGATGCTATAAAATTGTTAAGAGACTGATTTATTTATTAGGGTTTTGTAAAAAAAAGGTCGCTTTATTCAGTTTGAAATTTGTAACTCAAACCAACTTAATCACATGAATTATAAATTTTCAAAAATGATTTTAATATAAACCAACATAGTTTTGATATTTTAGATTTCTTGAAAATAAAACGACAATAGTAAATTAAAAAGAAAAATGAAAACGAAGTTAACCTGAGCACCTAACTCGAGTCAGGCAAACCACGACCAGGTTGGGTTAGAATAGATTTTCTCTCAATCTCATCGAAGTTGGTGGTTCGATTTTCTTTTTCTTCATAAAAAAAAGAAAGAAAAAAAAACCGACATGATTACTGTCGTGTGTGCTGAACCATCGATCTGCTTGGTCGCTAACTCAGAAAATTCCTAGAATTATTATAAGGTAATAATTATAACCATTAATTTTAATAGTAAAGTTAGTAATGTATTTTAAAAAAATATAAATATTTTTTAATATTTTAATATAATTTAAAGAGAATATTAAATACTCCTTTCAAACTTAAGAGTGCCTTGGCAATCCCCTTGTTATAAACGTCACCCACCCATACAATACAACTACCATCCTACTTCTACATTTACATGCGCCCTCATCATCAACCGTCGATCACACGTGTGAGAGAAGGAAAGGTGATAACGACGTCGCATAGGTGAGTGTGATCATGTAATCATGTTCATGTTTAATTACCTGGGATGCCACGGCGACTCGTTGTGGTGGGAATAAGCTAGATGGACATGCTCTCCGACCTCCACCGACACTACCGACCCGTTCCTCTCCTCGAACCGCTTCCGCAGAGTCGTCGCCGTCGTCTTTGGTGACGGAGTTCGGCTGCCGGCGGCCACCAGCTCGTCCGGAGGCGACACTATGGAGCTGCTGAACACACCCAACATTTTTATCGGAAAATTATATATTTTTACCTTTGTTTTCTCGCATTCACGAAAAACTACTCACTGAATGAGACACGAAGCCGTAGCCTCGATTTCTTTATATAGAAGGAGGGGACGAGGGCAATTTAGTCATTTCGTTGTAATAAGTGGAAATTTTATGAGTAACTCCAAAAAATTAAGGAATTTGGACAAGTGACACGTGGGATCCACATCGAGCGATGATTTTTTGTCACCGGAATCAGACAATGTAGATGGTGTGGACCCCACCAGGTTTATTGATTCATTATTAATATTATTGGTTTATTACGTGCCTTTGATTTTCTGAAGCTAGGTTGTTCCAGTGATCTCCTGCTGAACCATCCAGATTTTCTTGTGATGGGGAGCCTGTCATTGTTTGCCACATCACCGCAGTACTTTTTGTCTTCCATTTAATTATCAATTTATATAACCATTACATAACATTTCACATAATAAAATTAATTTTTTATATATGTCTAATAGTGTACAATAACAAGTTTATGCGTAATAATTTTTATAAAAAAGTATAAAAATTTAGGACATTGATAATTTTAAATATTACAATTTTCTTTGTTCTGTATTAATTGTCGTTGGAATATTTTATATTTGTCTTAGTATATTTTTTATGTTATAATTCAAAAAAATATTAATTATTTGTTAATAAAATATATTTTTTATTAATATATTTATTTATTGAAAATAATTTATGTCAACTAATTACTTTCTTTATCTCTAAGAATAATTATTTAAAATTATGGTTCAATAATTAAGAAATGTATTTAATTATCTTATTCTTATTTAAAATGTTATAAAAAATTTATTTATATAATAAATAAATAGAAAGAGAAGATAAAAAAATTACTCTAAGATAATAATTCTTTTAAGAGTAAAATTAAAATAACAAAATTAATTTTATTTTAAAATTATAAAATAACTATTGTTTTAAAATAAATATAACTGATTTAAATTTTTTAATACATATATATATTATTTTAAAATTATTTGTCACTTGACTATTATAATAACTTGAATATTTTTTATAAATTTTTTTTAAAATAAATTATTTTACTGTAATAATTGATAACATTAATTGTTTTAAGAAATATTTTTTCACAAAGTTACTTTTCTTGCTATGTTCAGTATTTTATAAGTTTGAAAAATTAATAAAATAAAATTTTGATCTATCTTGCAAAAATGACAGTTGATAAAATAGTGCAGTGTTGTAAAATAAATTAACAGTATAAGATTAAGGCCTAAAACATATATTAAGTATAATAATATTTAATTAATATAATATTAAACATATATTTAAAATATAATATTATTATATTTTAAATTATTTATTTGTATGAATATAATTTATAAGAAAATTTCATGAAATATAATTTAAATCTTGTTTATATAAATAAATGTTTGTAAAATTATTTTATTAATTTACTTATGATTTTCTTTTCCATATTATACGTTATCGTTATAATATTTGTTTAAAGAACTATCATTTTTTATTATAATATTTGTGAAAATAGTTATATTAACTTTTAAATATATTTATTTTACAGATTAATTTTATTATTTATATACTCTTATGTTTTTAAAAAAAATATATATACGTGTGCATGTTTTATATTTATTAGATATTATTAAAATTAATTTACTTATTATTTACTTTTTAATCTTACGCTTTCTTTTATGACGTTACATTTTTTTCGTTGACCGTCCTTTTATTATAAAATGAATTAACGTTTTATCATAAATTCTTTATTTACTCCCCTCGCATCGTATTATTTATAATTTAAAAAAAATTCAGTGTATTTATTGTTTGACAAAATAATAATAAAGAGTTTTCTATTAATTTTGTCCTTAAAATGTTACCATGTAATTTAAATTGCGTGCTCTTCCTTTTTTTTCAAACAAACATTATATTTGCCACGTACTATTATTATACATTTAATACACTGAACTACATGACGCTTGTAAAAAGCATGGGTTAACACACAGAATAGAGTTACTGAAATAAGTTACTCGCCCTGATTTTGATTAGACTAATTTGATCTGAATTCTATCAAATCATATTAAAAATTTACATTTTATTCAAACCTAATTTTAATTTCAATCGAATTAGATTGAAAAAAAGGTTCACATTTAATCGAGTCACATAATAAAAGTTTAAACCTAGCTCAAAAATGTATTTTATATTTAAGAAAACTAGACTACTCCAAACACAGTTAAATATAATTATTATTTCAAAATTAAGAGAGTCATATTTTTTAATAAACAAGATAGCATCGTAATATTTATTAAAAAATTTAAAGAAATTTGATAATAGTCTCATCAAGATCATGCATAAACAATATAGGATAAAATTGATTCAGATTAAGATATTTAACAAATTGAACAATGACATAGATTAGTATTAGTTATTTCACTTTATTTTTGAACTTGAAAAAATAAATAATATTTTTAAAAAGACAAATAAATATGTTAGTAGCGATGAATGATAAAAAAAAAAAAAAAAAAAGCTTAACTGCGTTTTTAGCGTTTATAGCACATTAAAACTTTATATTTTTAAAACTATGAAATTTTAATTCTAAGTTACTATGTTTAGCTAAAATTCTTTACTGTAATTTTTTATAAATTAAATTGATTAAATTATTTAATATTCAAAATTAATTAATCAATATAATAAATTACATTGATATAAGTTAATAATTTTTGTTAGATATTTTAATTTTAAAAATATTAACTCTTAAATTAAAATTTTAATCACATGGATCGTGTAAATGTAAATTTTTGTGAAATTAAAATAATATATTATTCAAATTAGATAAATTGAAAGTGAGATTAAATCAGATACATTGTTAAACATTCACAAGTTATTTTCATAAGTGGTATAAAAAGACAACATACAATATAACATGCAAATACAGAGAGAAATGGCAGATAAAGAAATTTTTAATATTAAAATAGAATAATTGAAAAGCATGTCTAATGCGTGGATCGAGTTAACTAAATATTAGCTACTTATTATCTCCCGACATCGTGTTAATATTAAGATATAATTCAAGATTTATGTTTTTAAACGTGTGTGTCTTATAGTACATGTTTAATTTTTTCATTGAAAATTTCAAGGTCACGATTTGTGTACAAAAATATAATTATAGTTTTTCTTCAATTATGATTTGATAATTATCTATTTAAAAAAAACCAACACGCCTTTAATTGACAAATCAAAGTAGAAGGAAAAAGTATTTGTTAATAAAAAATATTATTCTTGCATTATATATTCCATTTCTACATTGAGGACGACTGAACTTAGAAAATATAACGAGTTTAACTTTAGAAAATATGTCCAACAAATTAAAATACAATTTATATATTAATTATCATAAAAATTAATAATTTTTAATATCATAACAATCCACAATTGAATAAATTGTAAAAAAAGATATGTCATCAATATATTTATAAATATACCATATCATTTGTTTTAAAATTTTATCATGTAATAATGCATGTGAATGGTAAAAGGAAAGTATAAATTAAAAATGTGTATGAAGTGAGAGGTATCTATGAAAAGCATGTCATTGATGAAAATATGTTGCGTGATATAAAATTGAATACGCTAACTTAATATATTACGGCTAGTTTTAGTTCTATTTTTTGTTGGCAACTTGGCATATGCAAAAGAGGGGTCAAACTTTTTAACGATCAAAACCATGGGTGAGCATTCGGGTTTCTATGGGTTGTATGCATTGTGCAACTTGAACTTAAATTACAAGGAGAACCCACTGCTCGTTGATTCTTATGTGCCAACACAACCTTTCTGTTCGCGCTGGATTAACTATAATCTAATAATGTATAAGACATAATGAGAATAATATAAATTTATAATTAATTATATATACCTATTTCCCCTTTTTTTAAAAATAAAATAAAATTGATAACGCAATGACGAGAACACATATCAATAAGTCGTAAAAATTTTATCTTTTATTTACGGATATAAGGTGAAGTCAATATATTCTTCTATTTTAGGGACGTTTTTGTTTCTGCATTTAAAAATGTATTTTGATCTGATGTAGTTATTTAAAATCACGCGTTTGTATGGTAAATATGGTAAAGTCTCCTGGTCGTGGATAGGACACACTGATGCGGGGTCCACAATCGTGCGGTGGACGATGAATGTGCATTGTCAACAACGTAGTTGAGTGAAGCATGGAAAAAGAACGAGTGATGAGTCGTGTTAAGACAAAGTACGATAATAAATGGAATAAAATAGTAAGAAACTGACGTGGAAGTTATTATTTACGGATAAACACACCCTATTTTTATAATAAATACTTTAATCTAAGAATTCTTCTTGTGAAGGCGACGCCCACGGTTTTCCCAGATGGCCCACGGTTTTAGAAATTACTTTTATTCGTTTATTTATATTATGATGGTATTGGATTGCTTTCTTATATAACAATATTTTTTATTTTAATTCTTACAAGTAAAAACTGAAAAATACATATACTTCCTTTTTCTTTCGATGTTTATGTGACAGATGTTCGATATATATAATATACACCATTTTAAAATATAAAATAAATAATGATGATAAAATTATATACTTTGTAAATATTTAATTTATTTAAAATTTAACATATATATAAATTCTGCACTCGTATAAAAAAATAAAAAATCTCACCTCATTCCCTCAATGCCTCCGAGTAACTTGAGTTTTGAATTTGATGTCACTTCCGTTTTAGGGTCAAGCATCCACGACCATGACGATCAATAGTGACCTTACCCTTTTACACACGACGCTATACGTACTAACCCTACCATTTCTCATGTTCAAAACCTTTCTATCCAAAATTAACAACTCCAACTCTATGCTATCCTCGTTGTTGTGTTACACAATCATGAATACCAAGACTGAATACACTTAACTCTTCGATAATAGAACTTGTTATAGTAAAAATCGTTTAAAATAATAATAAAGTATTTAATAAAAAAAGTGTATAATAAAAGTTTCCTATCTTAATTTTAAGAGGTGTTATTAATAATTTTCAAGCGACCTCTGAATATTTGTGTAATTTTATAAACATCGAAGTATAAACGCGTGTCCCTTATTAATACCACAACTAGTATTTCCATGTGTCTGAAATTCCTATTGGTGTACACATCACGTTGGATCTTAATATGATGGTGATTTCGAAGGAATGGAGAAAGGAGACAAAGAAGCTACGGTGGTTGGTGGTGGGGCTCCGATTGCAAAAAGCAACCACAAGTAAGCAAGCAAATAAAGGTGAAATGGATTGGGACAAAGATCAATGAATATTCCTATTTCCCAATTCTCACTGTTCCACCAAACCAAATAGACATTTGGATTATCACTCACAGCCACTAATCCTAGTTCCTAAAACCACAAAAATCAATGCCAGAGCTTCAATTTAAAATATCGAGGCTGGGACTTAGCCACGAATAATTCTTGCTCTTCCATTGACCTTGGATTTCTGCTCCTTATGACATCAAAGTTAATGTCTGAAACGGTTCTGAGGCGGGTCAAGATGCATTCTCTCTATTTTCGCTCTTCTTCCCACTAGTATAAAAAATGTAAGCATTTCAGAAGTTTACTAAAACATGCATATTTGATTACAGAGTGGATGTAACTGAAATTAAAGTGAAAGTAAATTTCATCGAAAGCTTAAAAAATGGCATAGACAGAAGAAGTGATAAATTGCATCAGAACGAAGTAGACGCGATTAGGTCAATGGTTGGTTACAGAGAAATTGATAAAAATGAAGAAAGAAAAGTGAAAGTGAAGGAAGGTGAGTGGAGGGGACCAATATAATAGGGATATTTTTGCCGTCCTTCCGGGGTGTATGGAAGAAAATCCCCGCGCTGTCGTTGCCTTCACTCCCTTGTGATTGTCTCTTTTCAATTTCGCCGACAGATTTTTTCATTTCTCTTTTTCCTACACAAGTAAATATTTAATTTAAAAATGAAAAGATCTAATTATTTAGTAATTATGTCTCGCTTTGTTCCATCATTGGAGAAGACAACGTCAACTATGGTTTACCTAAGATGCTATCATACTCTTACCAACCCAACAGGAATTTCCCGTTTTAAAGAGAAAATAATTACATCATAATATAAGATTCGCGTTATAAGAAAAAAGAATGACTTATTTTCTTAAATAATTAATCTATATCTTGGTAAGTTGGTTTGTTTTGTACTCCAAATGAAGTAGCCATCTAATTTCGTAACTTGGAGATTCAACTTCATTAATTGATTTGAGTTTTCACTCTTCATAGAAAGGAACTCTCTAATTGATTCTAATACAATACTTTAGAATAGCCCGCAAAAAATTGCTTATTTATTGGATGCTCGAGATTTGCAGTGTTTTTTACAAAGATATTTTAATTAAGCAAAAAGTTTGTTTAAAACGTTACTTTTTAACTACTAACTAAAATAGATTTTTACATTTTTGTTTCTATTATTTTTTTATAATTTTTCATTTACTCCTTCCATTTCCAAAACATTACTATGTTCAACTTTTTAAAACTGTCTTTGTTATTAAATTTTATTTAAATATAAAAAATCACTAAATATTAGTTTTTAATATAAAATTATCAAAATAATGATAGAATTTAATTCATATTATCTTATTTTATTTAACAAATTTATTTTAAAATGAAAAAATTTAAAATTTAATTTATTAAAATATACAATTATCAAAATTTATATTATAGATTAAAACTGAATGATATCTTCATATGTCATTTAATATTTTTTAAATACTTTAACGACTAAATTTACTATAAACACTTTTTTAGTTATTGTGTAATTTTAAAATGTATTTTTGTATGTAATATTTCTTAATATTATAAACTTTATGAATGCCCATCCTTAAAGATATCGTATTGCTTGAGTATATATGCTTATTACTTCATTGATGTCATCATGAATATATGCAGAGTTGAGTTTCGCTAGTATTTTGTCTTTGTTCTCCCTAAACCTACGTGGTCTCAATAGAAAAGCATAAGAGATGAATAGAATCGAAAACTGGTCAGGAAGAACAAACTTCAGAATTCTTTGATTTCTCTCGAAAAGATTGTGGAGTGGATGTTACTAATCTTGGAAGATTTAGATTTGCTACATATTACTGCCATGGATATTTACCTACCAACATGTTTTCTACAATTTAATGATAATGTATTAAGAAAGACAAAATCATAAGTGGCTAGTTAACTATTAATGTTGAAGGATTTAACTACGTGTAACCGTTTAGTTGAAGAAGCACAACATGCTAAGAACTAAGAAATAAGAAATTGTTATTTCTGATCAAAGGTCGGTGACATGTCAACGGAAAAAATAAAACAGAATCTGATTAGTTTATGATAAGGATAATGCTATAGATTTTACGCTATGATTTAACATGTCTAAATGCTAAAAAAAAATTCTCTAATTATTTAGCTAAAATACTATAATTTCCAATCAAATTTGAGGAGCTTTTTTACTTGCAATCATACATTTAAAATACAAAATTTATATATAAAATAATGTGAAAAACTCAATTAAAAAATGATTTTAAATATATGAACGGTGGGTCCATGTTATTTTTGTCTCCCGGAGACCCAGCCAAAAATTAGTGAACAAAAATGGGGCTTACTAGCTCCAAAGCCAGTCAATTTCAGCTCGAGTTCGGTGAAATCATATTTTCATCCTACCTAACAAATTGATCATTAAAGAGGAAAAAGAATAGAGTTAAGTTTCAAAATAAAAATATTTTTTAAAATATAATATTTCCATATGATATCCTAAATTACACATTTTTTCTCGTTAAAATAACTTTGTAAGTGCATTTAACATATTGGTTTTATGGCCCAAATGGTAGGTGATTGGCAGTCATGGAAGCCCAATTCTCTTTGAAACTAAGGTCCATGTTCATCGATGGATCAACCCTCCTGATAAAAATATCAAAGATCATTGACCAAAAACATAAGAAACAAAAGATCATTGCAAAAGAAAAAGGAAACAAAGATCAACCCAATCCAACTTCAGATGAAAGCATTTTTAACTACAGTATTCGTTCGACCAAAAAAGATTACGGTATTCGTTATTTGGTTTGAAATGATAGGATAATAATGTTAAGGATTTTATTAAATTTTGTTCTTAGGTTAGAATAAATAATTATTAATAATAAAATTTTAAAAAAATATTTATTATATTTTTATAACTTTAATATAATACCTATATATTTTTTTATAAAAAAATTTATTTATAAATACTTAAACTTAACCTTAAGAGCTGAATTGAGGTTAACAAAATTCTAATGTTAAAAGTAATTAATTTAATTTAAATTTTGTAATTTTATTAAATTAACAATTTAAAATTTTGTTTTTAAGATTAATATTTTATTTTCTATTAATAAATAAATAAAAATTTATTACCTGTATTTTTTCACTTTCTATCCTTTTCCTTGAATCCGAACAAAGCATTAAGGTTTTGGTGTCCCTGTCTTTACGCCACGAGGTGGATGTGGTGACTGGTGTGTGTTACAGAAAGAGAAACATGTCTCACTCTCACGAAGCCCTCATTCTTATCCAAAAAATGGTGAAAGTGCCTCCAACAAAAGCTCTCTTCTTCTTCAATTCTTCAACCAATTACCACACTTGCCACTCTATTTCCTTCATGTTAAACCTTCTCCTTTCCTCTGGTATGTTATCCCAAGCTCAATCTCTCCTTCTACGTATAATCTCAGGTCGAATTTTCTTATCTAGCTTCTCCCCCTCCTCTTTTATCCATCAACTAACACAAACCCATTTCACCTCTCATACTCTTCTCTATGAAGCAATTATTAATGCATATGTTCATTCTCACTCACCTCATCAAGCTCTTAATTTTCTACACCAAATGGTTCACCAGGGCCATGTTCCTAGATCAAACACGTTCAATAATCTTTTGAGCATTCTCATTAGATCAAATTGTTTTGATACAGCTTGGCGGGTTTTCAATGAATTGAAGGGTAAGCTTGTTGTGGATGTTTACAGTTTTGGGATTATGATCAAGGGTTGTTGTGAAGCTGGTGACTTGGTGAGAGGTTTTCAGCTTCTGGCTATGTTGGAAGAGATGGGTTTGTCTCCAAATGTTGTCTTATACACTACGTTGATTGATGGCTGTTGCAAGAATGGTGAGGTTCGGCTGGCAAAGAAGTTGTTTTGCAAGATGGAGAGGTTGAATTTAGTTGCCAATCAGCATACTTATAGTGTGTTAATGAATGGGTTTTTCAAGCATGGCCTTCAAAGGGAAGGATTTCAAATGTATGAAAATATGAAGAAAAGTGGGATTGTGCCTAATGTTTATGCTTACAGTTGTGTCATCAATGAGTATTGTAATGGTGGGATGGTGGATAAAGCTTTTGAGGTGTTTGATGAAATGCGCGACATAGGTATTGCATATGGTGTTATGACATACAACCTTTTAATTGGTGGGCTGTGTGCAATGAAGAGGCTTGGGGAAGCAGTGAAGTTAGTTCATCAAGTCAACAGTGTTGGCCTTAGTCCTAATATTGTTACATACAATTTACTGATCAATGGGTTTTGTGATGTTGGAAAGGTGGACACTGCTGTTAGATTGTTCAATCAATTGAGGTCAAATGGACTATCGCCAACGTTAGTAACTTATAATACAATGATTGCTGGATATTGTAAGGTTGGAGATTTAGAAGGAGCTCTTCACTTGGTCAAGGAAATGGAGGAGAGATGCGTTGCTCCTTCCAAAGTGACATATACAATTCTGATTGATGCTTTTGTAAGATTAAATTTTATGGAAAAAGCTTTTGAGATGCACACTTTGATGGAAAAGGCTGGTTTGGGTTCGGATGTATACTCGTACAGTGTCCTAATACATGGGTTATGTATGCATGGTAACATGAAAGAAGCATCAAAACTCTTCAAATCATTGGGTGAGCTGCACTTAGAACCAAATAGTGTCATATATAATACGATGATTCACGGTTACTGCAAAGAAGGAAGCTCTTATAGGGCTCTTAGGGTACTCAAAGAAATGGTTGAGAATGGAAGGGTTCCAAATGTGGCCAGTTTTTGTTCAACCATAGGGCTTCTTTGCAGAGATGGAAAGTGGAAGGAAGCTGATCTTCTCTTACAACAGATGAAAAATTCAGGACTAAAGCCATCAGTTTCTTTGTACAATATGGTTTACAAAGTAAATATTGAAGAAAGTAATATAATATCTAATTCGTAATTTTTCTTCCTCTTGATTCTATTTCTCTTCAATAGAATATTTTGTAACCATTAATCGAGCTCGTTCAGGAATTATACTGTTTTTATACACGTGTGTGTGTATATATATATATATAGTTTGGCTTTGGCTCTTGGATTATTTTGGAGTTGGATAATCATGGCAACTCTCTTAATGGCGAAATGTTTGACTGGGCCGTGGCCCCATGGCCCAAAGGTTAATGACGCAATGTTATCCAGTGTATGAATGATAGAGCATGTTAGCCTTAAACAATGGGAGGGACCAGTACATTTGATGAGGCACAGCTGGGCAGGTTGAGTTGTTGCAAGAACTGGCTGAATTCATTGAGCATTTAATATACAACTTGGGAATTCCATTTTCATATCCTGATCTTTACCACGCGCGGCAAGGGGGTCCTTGATCATGAACCAGCAAGTACCACTAATTTTTGCATCTTTTCGTTTGGAATTTACCTAAATAATAGTTTCAGGATGCAAAACAAGAAACCACGTGTATGTGGGGGGCTTGAATCAGTTAATGATATTGAGTGATTATATCCGTACCCGTACCAACTTGTATACACATCTTGGTGGATGATATATCATAAATGGCAAGTGTTGTGGCCTACTTATATTTCTTTCCCTACACGGGATTTGTATTTAGCAAGTAGCTTGCATGAATTAAATTCGAATGTGCAAGCTCATCTTCACTTAGCCAAGTTCGCAACCAAACGAATGATTCACGGATGTTGCTGCTGTTTCCATTACAAGTGGAGTTCGCCAAACTGAACCCTCTTCTTTATCCTTATGTTACAAGTATAAATTGATTATCCGATAGAAAAAGGTAATTTTATGTATCATGCATGTATATATTTTTTAATGTACACATTTTATGATGTTAGAAGGCTAAAAGCATTACCTTTATTTAACCTTAAAAAAATCATAAAGAAAACAGGCTGCAATTAGAAATATATAAAGAAAGTTAAACCAGTATCTTTGTATTTAGAAAAATCTATGCTTATTATTATGATAAACCCACATGCAGCAATTTTTTGACGAAACGGTATGGTCAAAGAGTCATAAATATAGTCATTAAGATTATATCTACACAATGCAAACGCCATGCTATAAAAAGGAAACTCGGCACTCAGAACTGCATACAGCATTCCAATTCATTAGCTTATGTTCACTATGGCTTCAACTTCTTCTGCTGTCGTCATCCATTTCATCCTTCTCTTTACAACCTTTCTCTCTGCTTTCTGCTTACCATTACCACATGAACCCACTTCCATACCAAAATCCTTCATCCTTCCCATTAAGAAAGACCCAACAACCACATGTTCTACACCACAGTAGGCATAGGAACTCCTCCACACAACATGGACCTAGTCATTCATCTTGGCGGAGAAAATCTCTGGCATGACTGCAGCAGACCCTACAATTCATCATCCAAGCGTCACGTTGATTGTGAATCAAAGAAATGCCCTAGAGGCTCTACATGCTCTGCCACTGGCTGCATTGGGCCCTATAAACCAGGTTGTGCAATCAACGACTGTGATATCACAATAACCAACCCATTATCTAAATTCACTTCCTTTGAGACAATGGTCGAGGATGTCATATTCTTGCCTCATATGCAAGTGCCCGGTTTTCTTTCTGGTTGCATTGACTTGAACAATGGCTTTAGTAATGTTGGCCTTGCCTTACAAGGTTTACCCAAAAGCAGTAAAGGGGTCATAGGCCTTTCAAGGTCAAAACTTGCATTGCCAACACAACTCGTTTCGGCATACAAGCTTCCTCCCAAGTTTTCTCTCTGTTTCCCTTCTTCAAACGAGAAGGGCTTTGGTAACATTTTCATTGGCGGTAGTGATCATTCTCAAGCTGAGTCCAAGTTTCTTCAAACCACCCCACTTATTATCAACCCTGTTGCCACTGGTCCACTGTCTATACACGGTACTCCCTCTATTGAATACTTCATTGATGTGAAATCAGTTAAAATTGATGGCCATGTTGTAAACTTAAATCCTTCTCTTCTGTCCATTGACAAGAAGGGAAATGGGGGCACCAAAATTAGTACCTTGACTCCATTCACTGAGTTACATACTTCTCTCTACAAACCCTTTGTTCAAGATTTTGTGAATAAGGCTGCAGTGAGAAAGATGAAGAGAGTGGCATCAGTGAGACCTTTTGAGGCATGCTTTGATTCAAGCACCATTGGCAATGGTTTGCCTGTGCCAACTATTGATCTAGTGCTACCTGGGGGAGTGCAGTGGACTATTCATGGAGCCAATTCGATGGTGGTGACGAGGAAGAACGTAGCGTGCCTTGCTTTTGTGGACGGAGGGACGAAGCCAAGAATGTCTTCTTCTGTTGAAGCCTCCATTGTTATTGGTGGGTATCAGTTGGAGGACAATCTTTTGGTGTTTGATATAGCTTCCTCAAAATTAAGCTTCAGCTCCTCGCTTTTGCTCCGGAACGCAAGCTGTTCCCACTCTTGAATCTTTTGTTAGGTCCTCAAGCGTGTTGAATATTCGTCTTTTCTATCTTTCACTCTCCTACGTCAAGTGTAGACTAAAGGCTCGTGTAATGTGACTTGAAATTCTATTATATTATTATATTCGCTGTAATTTGTAAATCTATTAATGTTTTATTATAGTACGTTTTAGTTTTTTCACATGTAAGAGTTGGCCTGGTTTGTTCAAGTCGCGGTTCATGTTTAGTTTTCTCTTCAACAATTTTTAATAGAATGAGCTTGAGTTTTGATGTTTAGTTTGAGGATTCCTCCGAAAATGTCTCGGCAACGGCAAGACATTTTGTTTGAGTCAAATAAGACGCTATATATGGGCAGTTTCCGTCTCTATTTGCAAATCTAATTGTATATTTGGATTTTGTGTAATGATTTTCTTCCCTTTAGTACATTATTTACCACAAGATCGTTACTAAGTTTGGTTGAAGAACCCAAACTACAGTATCGTGGTCTAATATAGAATGAACCCAGTGCTTGCAATTTGTTTTCATAATGAACCAGTCAATTTAAAGAGTCTACCATGTCATTTCAAATTATTTTGTTGAAAGTTTTTTTAAATAAATGATAATTTGAAACGAACAAGCCTCCCATAAACGAGACTTCCTGCATGTCCCAATTCTTAATTTGTTCACCAAGTTAAACAACCGTCATGGGACATGTTATGTTACGGTAATATTTACGTTTTTTTTTTCGAAACCTGCAGTTTTTTTTAACATTAACTACTCGACCAAAAAAAGACGGCAGGTCCGTGCTACCCTTTGCAAAATAACATTCTAAAAACTAAATTTTGAAGTTTTTAACACAATTTTAGAAATAAAGATTATTTTGATCGATTCCGAAATTAAATTTCTAAAAAATGTGAGGTCGTTTTTAGAACAAATTTTTTATATAAAGATGGTTTGTGTGTGTGTATATATATATATATATATATAAAAGTTGCAAAAAGTTTGAGCCTTATTAGCACCATCGCTTTCTCTTTTGCGATGCCCTACGCACCTCCCACTCTTTATATTTTGGGGTCAAATCATCAGATCACACTGCCGATCCTGTGCCGTTCTTTCTTTTTGTCAACAAACTTTGCCACTGCAACACCAAGTCTACAAATGACAGAATGGGCCGCGCATTAAAAGTCCAATATCTCTGGATACAAAGCACGTTCAAGAATTCTGCTATGTTGACCTAAAAACAATTGTGCTATGGGCTCCACTCTGGATTCAAAACACAGTAATCAATGATTAATGTACATATATAACTTAATTTAAATCATATATATTTATTATAACATATGTATTTTATTGAAAAATGCAATTTCTTTTTTTAACTTTAAAGTAAGCTGGCCCTAAACAGGACTTCATCAAAGAAAATGGCATCATTAGTTGGATGTTGTGGAAGAACTGAAGCAAACGGAGAACTTGCTGCAGAGACCAAAATCTGAGGCAGTGAGTAGGAAGAAAGTTTTCGCCTTCCGACAGCCGCAATGCCTAAGCAGGGCTTTCTGAGGTACCCTTTGAATCCATCAGTTGATTCGATGGAAATAGCATTTTTAACAATATCTCGTCGATCGTAGGTATATATGAAAATGGAAAATACGGTATTAATTTCTTTTTATTTTATTTTATTGGTAAACTATATGGTATTAATTTCTAGGGAACAGACCGCATCCGCACGTGTTGTAATTGAAATGAATACATTCACAATGACGACCACATTTTTTGGGGTCAAATTCAGGTCCAAGTCCAATGAAAGGATAACAACAAAGCTAAATACAATACCCGTAATAGGAAGTCTCATATCAAATAATTTATAACACTAACGAAAACAGAGCCATGGGAGGATGGTCCTATGTTACTATAGCCAGCAGTCATCGTGTATTTCACATCTGACGTCTTTCTTTGCTAATTTTTATTTTTCGTTAATATATATTCTCATGCATAGAAATAAGATAATAATTAATTAATTGTTGACAGAGGAATGTTAAGCTTTTTCTCAATTAAAAACCAAACTGCATATTATATTATATATAATATATATAAAGAACCGAACAACTGATGTGCTAGTCCTGAGTGCAGGTGGGGTTAAACTATCGTTCCTGTATTAGCTTTTTCAGCTGAAGAAGTAACGTGTCATGCTTTCGTAATAAAGGAAATATTTAAATCCAGTCATGTTAATAAAGAACATAATAATATTACGATATAAAACGTACAAAATAATTATCATAGAGTTTATTATTATCTGTATAAAAATTATTAATTTAATTGATATATTTTTCATAATATATACTATTATCATATTCCTTGTTATCGTAAAAAGATCTTGATGTAATAAACGAAAAAAAGAAATACATAACAAATTATGTGAGCATACCCTTTTCTTTTGCAGTACATAAAGGATTATTCCTTCGGCACTGTCCAAATTCCCCAGTGGGATGCACTTCTTATCAAACAGAGGGAGGAAAGGAAACGAATCTTTCAGTGATATTTTTCAGGTTTCGCAATTCAATCGAGCATCTTGAAAGTCGACTAGTATTCCAATATCATAAAACTCAAATTGACGCAGAAGTCCCATCAAAATACAAGATCATAATATCTCATCAGCCTCGATTAGTACAGCTAAATAGTAAACCCCCCCCCCCAAAAAAATAAACAAAAAAAGCTTCACAAAAATCAAGCTCGTACAAAATTGAGAAAGTTCAGAAACATAGTTTGAAGAAGAAAATTTAATAATCAGTACTATAATCGAAGTTATAACGAATAGTCAAACTGAGTCTGCAAGCATGGAACCGAATCTAAAATGGGAACAGCCAGTGTTCTTAGTGTAAAGGGAAGAACTAAACCCCACCATGGAAGTAGCTAAATCAAACTGTACTATTACTTCCTCCAATTGATACCCCCCAATGATGATGGGATTTCTTGGGTTGACACCTCCATCCAAGAACCCCAAACACACAACCTCGCTGCTTACCCTAACCATGGAGTTTCTCCCATGTATGCTCCACTTCACCATCTCACTCTGCAGCACCAGCTCAATCGCCGGCACACTTGCCCCCACGTGCGAGCCCTCAAAGCAAAGCTCAAAGGGTGCCACGGAAGCCACTATGGTCATGTTCAAAGCCACAGCAGCGTCCAAAAAAGTTGCCTTGAAAGTAGCATAGATCGAGCTCTGCATGGTGGTGTAGGGTACAATTGAGCTCAACAAAGTAAGAGCCCCACCACTGTTCTCTTGCTCGAGGGACTGTGATGACGTGTCCAACGACAACCTCTTGCCGTTGATTTTGATTGAATTAACGTTGATGAAGTATTCCTGAGATGGGAAATTGGTAACAAGGGGTGTGAATGTAAGAGACTTAAGACTCTCAGTTACGGCTGGAGAAGACTCGTAATAGGCCATGTCGCCGAAGAGGACAACCCCTTTTGATGATGAGAGGCAGAGAGTGATTTTCCTGTGTGTGCTGAAGGAATCGAAAACCTGAGAGGGAAGGGAACTGCGAGACCTACCAAGACCAACCATGCCTCTAGCACCCTTTGCTAAGCCGTTTAAGAGCATGCTGGTGGGGGAACAGGTGAAGCTAACTTGGTGAATGATTTCTAAGTGAGATGATTGTACTGCCATGAGGTCTTCTACAAGCTCTCCTTCTGTGGCCACTGTGCCTGTGATGCTGTTTTCTGGGAGAACTTGGCATGGTTGGTACTGGTCCTCGTCCACGGGGCTAGAGAGAAACGAAGAGGAGGAGGATGAGTCATCGGGTTTGTGGGTTTTTGCAGTGAGGCACTGAATTGAACGGTGAGGAGTAGTGAGAGTGGAAGATGAAGGGGTGTTTCTCGATGCACAATGAAGCCAGAGAAAAGGGCCTCCCAGATCAAGCACGAGTTTGGTGGGTACAAGAGGGGTTCCGTAAGAGAGGGTGGTCAAGTATTGGAGGGTTGAACCGTCCTTGGTGACTGGGATGTGGAAAGAAAGTGAAGATTGAGCATGAACGAGGGACAGGAAGAGAAAGGAGAAGAGGAGAGGAAAGGAAGCCATGGGAGAAGAGAAGGGTTGTTGGGAGGGTCGTACGTTTTGCTGCTGAAGAAGAATGAAATTGCGTCTAGGTTCTTGCTCACTCTCTTCTAAGTCTTTTACCTTTTTTTATGGCAAGCGTGTCACTGTGTGTGCTTATCTTCTATCTTCATCTGTGTGGGCGGGGATATGTCACCATTTTTATTGGTGGGCCATTCTCACAGACCAAAGCATTTTCTTTTTAACACATGCCTTTTTAGATGTTTCTCTTTTGGACTAGCTTCTCTAGATTGCTTTTTTATTATTATTATTTTCATGTGTTTTAGTTAATTATACTGTCAGTAATAATGTAAAAAAGTAAAATCAAAGTTGTTAGTGAATAAATATAAAAACTAGCAGATAAGAAGACGACGAAGAAGAGTATTATATTATCTCTGTCTCTCACTCGTTCCCATTCATAACCATACCACAGAGGAGATTCAGTACGAATCGACTATAAAAATTGAAAAACAAAGTGCAATGGGGTTCACAACTTCTTTGATTCTTTCGTACTTTCATTCAGGATAGGTGTTGCCGAGGATTCGACTAGTTGAGAGGAATTAACGTCAGTTCTCTCCTCGAGTTCTTTTGAATCCTGAAACCATCACACTAAAATTACATTAAATATGACTTTGAATTCACATTTAAATGATTATAAATGAAGTGACGTTAATTCGTATAAATGATTATATATTTCGAGTGTAATTGTAGGAATTGCACTAACTATTTATCGTTTTATGAGGACTGGAATATGATCCACATAATGGACGGAGGATACCAGATATTTTAAAGTTACAAGCTGCCGCGTCCCGATACTTTCCCTTTCGTGAAGGCCACATTATATAGGGATGAGAAATAATTATGGCATATATAATGTGGAATAATTCAAAGTCCTCATAAAATGAATTGATTGAATATAATGTGGACTGGAATGAGAAATAATGGATTCCATTCTATCTAAATTCTTTATCTTTTAATTAACAATTTTACGTTTTTATTTATTCGTGAATTACTGTATTAACCCTGTAGAGTGCAAACCTAGCATTAGCAAGAAAACGATATATTTGTTACTCTCACAGTCACGGTATTCCTCAGCTGTCTCTCTCTGCTCATTAAGGTTTTCGGCTGCAACTTTCGTACGAATGAATGTTCAGAGGAAGTCATGCAAGCTCTCTAGTGACAATAAAGACAGTAAATAGTAAAATATTTATAAAGAAATATCACAAAGAAAGCATAATAAAATAGTAAAACTCTTTAGATTATAAAATTCAGATTTGAATTTTTTATAATTTTGACAAAATTTTTAGTTTGCATTCTAAATTTGTTTTAAGTTAAAAAATTTATTTAAGCAAATTTAATAAAAAATTGATATTTTAAAAAAAAAATTTCTTAAGCTAAAATTAAAAAATAAATGAAAGTTTATCTTCTTCCTTTTTAAACTATGAAAAAATTTGAAAAAATTTTATACACAATTATCTTATTCCACTTTTTGGTAACATATGATTTATTTTCAAATAGTCTCTCTAGAAAATAAATAGTAATAAAAACTACAAGCATGTCAATCAAAATTTTTTTAGTATTTTTTATTTTATTATATCATTTAAAAATTGATTAGGTAATAATTTAATAATTATTTTTTAACCAACTTCTTAAAATTGTTATTATAATATTTATTATTATTCTCAACAATTTAATTTAATTTTAAATAGTTCACAAGTAGCATAATAGACACATTTAGAATATTTGATAGAGGATATATACAAAGTATTTAGTAACTAGATAATCATTAATGAGAAATAAATATTATTAAAATTTTATGTATTTTAAGAAATAAGATTAAATTTTTAAAATCTTTAATAATTTTGATTTAAGTAAATTTTTTTAATTTCTTTTGTCAATTTTATTTAAATAAATTTTTTTACTTAGACCGAAAACTAATTCTTATAAAAACTGAAAAAAAAATATAGGTCTATAAAATTTTGCACTTCTAAGAAAAACAGAAGCATTTTCTTCCACCAAACTTCAATAGTTTATATAACATGTTTTTATAAGAAAATCAGTATTAAAGACTTTATATTAGTAAAACTGTTAAAGTATATATCTAAATTAAATCCAGTCATAATTTTTTTCATTAAAACACCTGCATAATCTGTAAAATTAATCTGCGATATAAAATAAGCAGGCCTTTAACTATCCCAAGAGTGAATTTAGCTTGTAAAAATATTTTATCATGTTTCATGAAATAATTTTTTTCTTTTAAAAGTTTATGTAAAAAAAAAAAAAAGCTTATACAAATGTTTTTAAAAATATTATTATTATTATGATTAGTAAAAAACACTAATAATTTTTTTTACCAATCAATATCCGTTGTGATTTTTTTACTGGTACTGAACTCCTTGGTTTGTGCATTTCACTTTGACTTCACTTGTTCTTCTCTTAGGTTTAATTAATTAATCTATTCTTAATTAATAAACTGGTAGACGTCATTGCTTTTGCAGAAATTATATATTAATTTTATTTAAATATTTTTTTTAGCATGTCTTTAAAGACACACAATCAGAATTTAAAACATTTTATAATTAAAAATCACAAGATCTAATATTATATTAACATTAAATATTATTTTTTAATAAATATTATTATTTATTAATTTTTTATCTTATTACCTTGAATATAGATTAAAAAATTGTTTGTTTAATGCTCTTTGTATTTTCTTGCGAGAAATGGTATATCCTCTTGCCAAATCTTGTTAATGATTCACTTAATATTGTATATAGTAATTATTAAATAAAATAAAATCATACATTTGATGTCTTAAAAAAACATTTAATATATTTTCTCATAATATGTAAAAAAAAATTTATATAAAGCTATTTTAAGATAATATAGAATTATTCTATTTTATAATCGATGTATTGGAAGGGAAAAATTGCAAGAAAGTTCATTTACCGTTAATTGGCAAATTGTAAAAACAGTTCAACTTAACATTGTTATGACCGTGTGTGACCTTTTTCTTTCTGTGGAAAACCTTTTTTTAATTAATGGTTGTAGCTCTCATTCTCTACACGGTCAAGAGTGAATGCGTTTAGTGCCATAATTATCGTGAATGAATCCAAGTACAAAGAGAGTTTCATGCTTGTATACATGGCTAACAGCGACCACACCAACTAAACAAAACAAAACCATAGCCTACAGTATCATCTTGGCTGAAAGCTGTTAGTGAGGGAAGTCGAAATTGTCAACTTAGAGCAACTTTTAATACAAGTTGCTTAACCAACTTCTATAAATAAGCATCTCTCTCTTACTACAGGTTAGAGGTATTGATGGAAAAATTAATTAATCAAAAAAGAGTTGCTTCAACAAGCAGGCGCTGTAAAACAGAGAGAAAAGGAAATGAGAGATTTATGCTTGTGTATATGAATTTGGAGGAAGAGATAATGTAATTCTTATGTAGCAAGAAGTTGGTAAGTTGAAGGGAAGTGACAATTAACCAAACCAACCTAAATTTAAAATTACAATTTGAACAGAACTTGTACATAAATTATATTTATTCATCACCAAACCAACCAAATTTCGCTGAATATGCGAAAGGGAAAATTTAGAAGACTCTGAAGTGGGAGCAACTAGCGTTGTGGAGTAGAAGAGAGGAGCTAAAACCAAGTTTTGAGGAAACTAGATCGAACTCCAAAAGATTGTCCTCCAACTGATACCCACCAATAACAATTGAAGTTGCTATGGGACTTCCTGGCTCCAAACCTCTATCCACAAATCCAAGGCATAACGCATTCCTAGAAACCTGAACCATTGAATTGGCGCCATAGATTCTCCACTGAACTCCCCCCTTCAGGACCAAATCAATTGTTGGCACATCCGGTCCAGAAAAGGTCTTGCCAATGGTTCTTGAATCGAAGCACGCCCCAAATGGTGCCACTGAAGGCACTCTCTTTATTTTTCTAACCGCTGCTTTCTTAACGAAATCATTCACAAGTGCTCGGTATATCAAAGTGTGTAACTTTGTGTAAGGAATCACAGTACTAAGCTTGGTACCACCATTTCCCTGTTTGTTAATAGACAACAAGGTGGTTTTAAAGTTGACATTTTTGCCGTCAACCTTGATTGACTTGACATCAATAAAGTACTCAGTAGAAGGATCATTGTCAAAGATTGGGCCTGTGCTACGTGGGTTTACAACTAATGGAGTGTAGGAAAGAAATTTGGAAGCATCATGAGGGGGCAAATAATAAGGTCCTCCACCAACAAAGAGGTCACCGAGTCTATTCACTTTAGAAGTTGAAGGTAAACAAAGTGCAAACTTACGATCAAGCTTATATTTCATTGCGAGTTGTGTTGGTAATGAAATCGCAGTCCTTGCAAGGCCTAATACCCCTTTCTTGCCCTTGGCCAAGCCTTCTAGAAAGCCCTGAACCCCAAATTTATCTGGGTATACACAGGAAGAAAGGAAGCGTGGCACGTGTATATTAGAAGGTGCTCTTGCTCCATTTGATGAACGCACAGAGGATAATATATCTTCACCCACGTCCCCGCTTACAAAGAATTCAGCAAAAGGGTTGAATGGTTCAACACCGCATGTGTTGTTTGTGCATCCTGTTTTGAGGGGGTGGTTGGTACAGTTAATGCAATCTGTGCCTTTGGCTACCTTGCATTGCTTTGTACCACAGTGGACAGCGTGGTAGGTTGAGGAATTATAGTCATTGCCACAATCAAACCAGAGGAAACGTTCTCTGATGTCAATGACTAGATCTAAGCTCACCGGAGGGGTACCCATTTCTATGGAAGTAGAGTACTGAAGGGTTGCTGGATCTTTCTCTATGGGAAGGATGAAGGAGTGGGGTTTAGGGGGCTTCAATGCAACTGATAAAGACAAGATCGAGAAGAGAGGTAGTGAGAGGAGGAAGAAATGGATGGTAGTAGCCATTGTTTGCAACTTTCTCTGAATCTCATCGATAAGTGATGCGAGGTCTCTGTTATATAGAAGAGGAACGCTTAGTAGATCTAGTCTCATATTAAACAATGTTTTGGACACGTGACCATGTAATATATTCAATGGTTTTTCCTGAAGAATGGATAAGGGTATACGATTTAACACGTTAAAAAAAATACGATTTAATAAATTAAAAAAAATATCATAATCACTCTTTTTTATGATTATAATAATAAAGATGGAAATAAGTAGATCTTGCTTTGCTTGAAGTACTGCAAATCAATATTCTTTCTAAAATTTGGTTGGTCAAGAATAGATCGCTTACAACACGCGTTTCAATGAATTTAATTTGTTGAAAGATGGCAACTAGTTCCTCCTTGGCCTAGGAGGTGGGTGACCTTGACTTTTTAAGTTGAAAAGCAATTTATAAACGCGACTCATCACTGAGGATCCATGTTTATTTTTTCCTTTTCTTTTCTTCATTAATGCCTACATTTTTTTTAATTAATGAATTCCCTTAATATGAGTATTGTTTACGCTTTCCAATTTTTAATTGGTGCAAGTTCGAAGTATCAAATGTAATTAAGATTTGCCATTAGGCGATCAGAGAAAGATGTATTCAATTCAATACTAAATGTAATTGCTATGATTATAATTTATAATTGACCAGTGGACAGTATAACCATGCAACGTGTGAAAAGAGCATTATGCTAACATGCTTCGTAACGAGTATTAATATTTTTAAACTTGAATTAAAAGAACAATAAATAAAGAAAATACAAACCACACAAGCTGACACTGAACTGACAATCTGTTAAGAAAAAGGCTCCATTCTTAGCTGAGTACAAATTTGCCTGAGAACAGTTCAAAATTTTTTTCTTACACGTCTCTTTTTTCTGAAAATTTAATTTCAAAATTTATATAACTACTTTTAAAATTTTAATTTTGGAAATTATTTTTATATTTTAATTTTAAAAATAGTTATTAAATTTTAATTTAAATAATAATTATAAATTACTTATAAATTTTTAAAATAACAAAAAAGGAGCCAAGAAGAGTGTGAAAAAAAGGCCATATTTTTTGGTTAAGTGAAACAAAGGCCATAAACTTGTCCTTTCAGCCCATCCTGCTCTGAAAGCAAGCAGCCCGAAACATTTATCAATAGGCCCAATTATTCGATCTCGAAGACGAAAGGAAAAAAGAAAAACAAAAAAGATAAACATATTCGAGCTCACACCGCAAGTGTTTCGCTGCAATAAAGTTGAACGCTTCGTGGGTGAGTTCTTCTCGGTCGCTGGATCAGCTTTATACTGCATTTTTTATGCAAACATTTTGTTGGTGGCTGTTTCTGCAATCAGCATCTGCTTTGCCATCGAGTTTCGTTCCTTCTTTATTGATGTAAGTACGTATTGAATTGGTACCAATTTCATTTGGTATTTGAATGGAAAAATCAGGAATGGCCGCGTCAGCAGCCATGGATCAATTTGACAAATCCATGAAGAAACAAATAGAAGCAATTGCACGGGTTTTGCACTTAGTTAAATCCTACAAAGAGGACTGTATTTCGTGCAAAATCGACGAGGTAGAATTCTACCCTCCTAAACTCACTTATCGCCGTTAAGACTTCTATTCAGTTATTATTCCGTTATTTTTGCAGGGTCTGTATTTGGGTTCCGTTGGCGCTGCAACTAACAAGTTTGCTTTGAAAAAGTTTAATATTACTCACATTTTGACTGTGGCTGGTAAATTGCCACCTGCACATCCTGGGGATTTTGTCTATAAAGTTATAGACGGTATGGTATTTTTCATTGAATCAGCAAACGTTTTTATTTTGTCTCAAATTGAAGCTTTTATTTTGCGTGCTTTAGGATAGAAATTGTGTTTACAATTTCGAAAGTGCATGTTTTGCTCTTCAACTGGTTGGACTCAGAATGTTAATTGCCTTTTAACTGACTCATAAAGGAGACAGCTCAGGATTTTACTTATCATGTGCTTGTAACAAAGGTTCATTATTATATTTTTAAATTATTTATTTCATTCAAATTTCTGAATGAACTAAGTGCATGATGCTTTTTGTCCTAATGTTGAGCATCTGGTACTGCACCCATACTGAACATATGATTTTGTTGGAAAATTGAGGCAGTTGCTGACAGAGAAGATGTCAACTTAAAACAATACTTCAATGAGTGCTTTGATTTTATTGATGAAGCCAGAAGACACGGTGGAGGTGTTTTGGTTCATTGTTTTGCTGGAAGATCAAGGAGGTAATTTTCTCTGTTCCTATGTTTCTCCCTTGCCTACGTGGGATCACTTCTTGTTCTTTTTGAAGTGTCTCAAAATAACTAATTTAAGCCTGTTTTATGACAATCATTTTCGTGCATTTTTTTGTTCTGGTTTAAATTATCTGGAATGTTGTTTCTCAAGGAAAAAAACTAAGACTAAGAGTAGCATGTAGCTTATAGGAATGTCAATTATGTTCCTTGATATCTTACTTTATCAAACGTCAACACAGTGTATATTATATTGTATTTATTATCCAACCGCTTTTTTATGCTGGTTCCTATACCGGTAACCAAAGGTGCCAAACTAGTGAGGTCTTGGGGAGAACAGATGTACTTAGTCTTACCTTCCACAAATGGAGAGGTTGTTTCCAAGATTTTAACCCATAACCAATAAGTCACGAGGCAACATGTTGCTACATGACTCACCTTTCCTATACCAGATTACCAGTAATATCATAGAAAATGGCACATGACAAAATAAAATATTTTATTTGCAAAGTTTTTTAGCATCTCTAAAGCTTATAATTTTATAACAAAAATTATACTTGACTTTACAGTATTCTTTATTTTGTTCGTAAAATATCTTTTCATATCTAATTTTACGTAAAAATTTCTTGAAACCTATTCTAACAAAGTTTTGAATGAGTATTGTTATCATATATGCATGATGCCATGTGGAACTTAAGCATATGACCGTGAACTAAATGTCAAATTGTTTTATGTTGAAGACTACAAATTTTGTTGTAGCCTTGAAAATTATAGATATCATTTTTCTCAAATTTAAAATAATATTAAAAAAAGTGCATATTGGCTATCTTTCCAATAAAATAGAAGTTCATATAGAATGAATTGAAACAAACTAAGTTATTTTTTAGTGTGTATGTAAAATTTTAAACTGCTAACAAAGTAAGCTAGACATCAAGTTTATTAACGTATGTAAAAATGGAAAATTAAGGATGTAGCTTGAATTTTAAGAATGATAAGTTATTTCTTTCTTTACTTTGGGCCATTAACTTCAATTCTGAGTGAAACTCATGCCAGCATTTTAGAACTTCCATTTTAATATTCCTCTTTGAACTAAAAGAACTTGGTATTTTATTGTTTATTTGATTATTGCCCTTTTCATTAGATGAATTGGGCAAAATCCGTCCTAATAATGCTCTACCTTCCAGTGTGACTGTAATTGTGGCATATCTGATGAAGACTCGTGGAATGTGCTTTTCTGAAGCTCTGCGATATGTAGAGAGCAAACGACCAGCGGCATCTCCCAATCGCGGTTTCATTGATCAGTTGAAGGACTTCGAGAAATCTCTTCAAGGTGCCCCTAAATTGCATTAGTCTTATTTACAATTGCAACCTGACTCGGTGCATTATTCCTCAATGCACATCATAAATCATCTGCACAAATGGTACATTTACGTCTTAAATATATTTCGAATTGATAAACAGCTAAAGCTATCAAGATACATTTACGATTGTACAAAACATGAAAGATCTTTTATGTAAGGAAATGAAATTTGTAATGATAGTTTAAAGTAAAAGAATTAACTTGTACACTGTTAATTTAGTAAAATGTGCATGATAAATAAAGTAGAGTTTTTTCAATTATTCTCTAAAGTTTATCGTTACAATTGGCAAGCAATTTTCGCATACAACGATGCAATCGCATATACTTCAATCAACGATGAGTCGATGATACCTCATAATGCGTTTACGTAAATCTTTAATTACAATATTTACAAGATTCAGCATATCCTCATCTTTTGTGAAACTTTTATTTCAACGCCGTTTTTTTTTTTCCTTTTAGATTTGTTTTTTTGTTTCCAAAAAATGATTTCTGGCTAAAGAAATTTTATAAAATATATTTGATTATTATTCAACTCTCTTAAGATTAGTTATCGTGAGAAAATTTAATAATTTTGCAATCAATTATTATGAAAAGTTTTATTTCTATTAAAGGTGAGAAAATAGTCCTTAATTATTCTCAAATTAGTATTACATCCATTCATATTTATCTCCCCGTTCTTATTCACAAATTAATTTTACTTATTTATGCACCTCTCTCTCTCTCTCTCTCTCTCTCTCCGAAGCTCCAATTTTTTATCGCCTCTTCCACCATGATTGCCCCAATGTAGTCTTCAACCAGTTGAAGCCTATGATGAGAATACCTTCCTCATAGCAGAACCACTCCACCATTTCTTCCCCTTGCTAACGTCCCAAACCTCACCATCTCTACTATCTGTCACTTCCTCAAACGCTCTCATTTCCAACACCACAAAGACCCGCGGTGATATTGCGTTGGCGGCAATGACATTAGCAGCAGAGGATTATCAAGGATTAAAATGGAATGTGTTTATATTTCATCCCAAAGTGAATAAACGAAAACTAATGCAAGAAACCTGTAATAGCCCGTTGCTTTACTGGTCCGCCCATGCACAGTAAAAGTCACCCATTGCCATAAGAGCACAAGTGAGTTACTCATAAGAAATTTGGGAGAATCACGTCACAAAAGCTAACCCTTACACTTGAAGAGCACAAAGTGTTATAAATTTGATCACGCTCTGTAATTCCGGCACACTCATTCGGGCTGACTGTATGCTGGCCCCTAAAATTGGTTTATTGGCTAATTGTTTTTATTATTAAATGTCTTGTAGACTTAATGAGTATTTGGTTTCATGTCAAAATGACTTGGACTCCTGCAGCGATCAGCACGTTGACATACGCTTATAGAATATTAACGCCAATCAGACAGACATCTTAAATGAAATTCTATAAAGGAATTTAAGACATAATTATAAAATGCACCCTGTTTAGTTGGCAATTTTAAATGTTTCATTCATGTTTAAAAAGAGCAAACTTTAAGATGTTTTGAGGAGAAAGAGGTTGAATTGAAATATATGTTTCTGCTTTTATTTTTTGAAGCTTTGAAGTATCGGGGGCATAAATTGGAACACCGTATGACTCAGTTAACTGTATATTGTCTACATCGCTCTTGCTTAGAAATTTCTAATGTATGTGGTGCCATCATTTTAACCAAAATAGGTGTAAGTAAAGGTGCTCGCCGATACCGTCCATCATCGAATGATAAAGACAAATTTGGCAAAGGCATTATGAGGCGATTGACACAGAGCCGTGGATGGATGAAAAGCTTGGCAATTGTTTGGGTTGCAGTGTTGTTGTTTACATTTTCATGTCCCCGTACAGGCATTTACAGAATGAAGAATACTGACATCTCTAATACATTTCTAATTATTTATTGAAATTATTAAAAATTATAAAAATGTAAGAAAGAACTGTTATATTATAAATAAAACTTATTGAATTAATAACGTGAATTACGTATTTTTAAAACTAAAAATTTTTAATTAATAATTAAAAGTGTGTTGCTCGTGTCTCTCTTTCTAAGATTTACAACACATTCACTAAATTGTTCAAACTCTCAGAGCGCTGTGACTAAATTAATGTGTTTGATTTCAGAAACATTAGTTTTAAAATGTTCTACATACATCGATATTTAAGTAGAGCATGAACGAACATGGCATGATTGGATCTAATTTGTTTTTGTGAAGGCATCAAGTGCATGAGTAGGGAACGTGATGGTGATTAGACAAGGTAATGTTTGGACCCAAAAAATAAAGAGACAAGTTAACGGAGATATGATTTATCATAAATACTTGAGTTAGGGTCACACCTAGGACAATGCAGCGTGAGTTAGACATTGCAACTGCAACTTCATCTTGAAAGAATAATGCATTAAAGCCATTTTCATTTCATCAGCGTCGCGATTCCAGCAGGATTGCTAATAACATGTTGTTTAACCTTTTTCATTTGACATATTCTATACAAAAATTTAAATAACGTTGCATCATTTCATTTGCACTCAAGTACTGATCTTTGAACTCAACAAAACAAATTATCGAATAATTAATTATATGCATAATTAGTTTGAGAAAATAACACAAGTTAATAAATTCAATTGTATATTTAGGCATGTTAACTAAAAAGTGAATTTGGTATCTCTGCTGAATTGTATGAAAGAAAAAAAAAAACTTTCATCGGGTAAACTATTGAAATAAATACCAAATAATTTAAAATAATTTAAAATATCCTTTATTTTGGGATGCTAGAATACATGAAAAATGTCAAGCAATATCTTGATTATATCTTAAATTATTTTTAGGACTAATTTTTTAGTTTCCTTTTTTTTTTTTCATGTATAGATTTATATAGGTACACGTGTGGTTAGTCTTTTATAATTGAAATTAATCAATAATATTACATATTATTTTCTAATATTTATCTCATCTTTTTTCTTCTTAATTTTAACAAGGAAAAATAAGTTTTTAGAAAAACAAAAAATAAACAAAAGCTTGAAATTGTGTCTTAAAGGAATAATTAAAGTTTTTGGTAGAAAAAGCTATTTGCCAAAATAGATAATTTTTTACCAAAGTTTCACTAAAACACAAGAAAGTTTAAGCTCTTTTTTATGTATAAATATGCGTATCTTGTTATAATATACGCCTCCTCTAGTATAAGAAGGGGAAAAAGGCTGTAATGAATTTGTCCATAAAATAAACAATAAAAAGTTTATTTAGCATTGATTTAATTTAAAGTATATCATAATTTTAATTCATTAAAATTGAAAATAATCATTGCATGTGTCTCTTTAGATAATTTTCTTTATATGTATTCACAACGTAATTACTTTGATTTTGTTTTCGTGGCCACAACCACTTCGATTACATCACCAGCCTGTAATTGTGACATTCAAATTCGAACATATTGGCCCAAACTTTGTCGCGTGCCCCTAAAATAATTCGAAGAAGACGCGTCCTCTGTTTCTATTTTGGTTAAATCAAAGCCCATATGATTGAAAACATTACTTTTCTTTTTTGGGTTCAACCCCCTTTGATTAATCATGAAATGAAATGTCTCCTTCTTCAAAATATAATGGATTACTAACATAAAGCATTTTATTAAATTTCTGAATAATCTTGACAGTCCCAATATAATTTAAAAGCCTGCCAACAATTACGTCATCAAAACATCATAATTAAACTCCTAATATAAAGGAAAATAATTTTCAGATTCTTTTACACAATAATTATACTTTATGAAAAACATAAAATATGTTAGAACTATTTTAAAAAACTCTTACTTTAAGTTAAATGCATCCAATATTAGTTTACATAAAAATTTTGTCCACCAAATAAGTTTTTAAAATATTTAATTTAACTTTTCAATTTATTTTTGTCTTGGATCATTAGTATTCCAAAATCACATTAAACTTTAACTGATTCAAATCATGTTCGGTGGACGCACTTATGGAAATAAAAGTCTCTCAATAGTTTTCCTTTATTCACAATACTCGATTTTAAAATTTTACTTTAAAACATTAGATTTTGTGCCACTTAAACCATCAAGCATCGGTGAATCTTAGGAAAATTGTCTCCAAATCAATTCATCTAAAATTTTACGTGCCATGCAATAAACTTATAGGAATTTATTTTTATCACTTTTAATATTTCATGAGGTTCCATAAGTATTATATATTTTTTGGAGAAAAATTTGATTAAAGGAAATTAAAAGACTAATATAGTGGCATTTTAAAAATTTGAAGGATTGTTTATTTAAAAACTATATTTAAAAAATGTAAAAACAGTGATATATAATATAAGAATATCTTTCCAAATGCAAGTGCGAAAAATCTTAGTTTTACTTTGCTTCCATTATGCTTAAGATCTTACCAATTTCGTCGGAAGTTATTTCACCTTCGCTCATTTCCCTTTGCTGATTATGATTTTGCTTTTTTGGTACAGAAAAAGTGAAAAACTACAGAATGCGATTTACTGCGTTCATATATTTAATAAAATGGGTATTCAATAAAGAACAAAAAGTGTAGCCGAAAGTCAAAACTGGGTTCCTTTTTCCCTTTTACCATAATGAAAGAACCTGTAGGGTAGCACTCTCACATATCATATCATTTTCCTGTTTTCCATCTTCCTCTTAGAACCTCATATCATTCTTCTCTAAATTATTACTCCCCATGGACCCATAGATTCTATTCACTCCAAAACTCTGAGCACAACGCAGTCCCAGTCTCTGTTCTTTTATTGGTATTCAGTTTTTTCCATACACTTACACGTGATTTAATATTAATTATTATCCGTAATCATTTAATTGGGTTGCTGGGGCATGGGTTCATGTGAAAGAACTTTATCTATTAAAAATATTGAAAATGTGTCAACAAAGGGTCTTTTTTTTATATGGAAAAAAATAAAAATTACTAAAATATGATATTAATTCACAAGAGAACTGCACGGTTATGCCATTGCCAACACAGATCGTAGGTAATTTTGAGCTATAATAAAAACGAAGATTAATTGTTACCATCAGTCATTGCAAAATTTGCAATATTGATTAAACTATATTAACACCTTTTTTTTTCTTAATTTCAAGGATAACTACAAATAAAGGTTCACCTGTTATGCGTTGTTTCCAAGAATAATTTCAGCTTTCAAAATCTCAGTCTTCACTTATGGGACCCGCCAAATATGGTTTGAT